ATAAGGATAAAATTCAGTTAAACGCGTCTAGGGCTGGTAATGCTTAACGATGCGTGCGGAGTCATGTGTGACATTTACTTTGAAAGTTTTCCACGTCATTGGTCGCTTATTATTCAAAAGAGCCGTCGATAAATTTTTAAGCTCCGATGCACCTTTTTTATGTGCCGAACGCGAAATATGAATTTTAGGAAAAGATACGAGAGGACGGATAATATCCGCCACGACGACAGTGATGTTGGTTGAACTTGCATATCTCTGGATGACATGATCGATCGCGCATTAATTGCACAAAATGAAAGATTTAAGCTTTTCTCGGGTTTATAAATTAAAATCGAAATTTCAAAAATTGTAATTAATAAAAAATTTGCAAGCTGATTATTTTAAACTAGATAATCAGATTATGTGAGCATTAAATACAAATTTGAAAAATTAATGCATTTATTTGAATTATTAAGTACCAATACTTTGTACACAAGTAATAGTAATAGTCAGTAGATAAGCGTGTCAAGTTATTAATAATGCGTATTTATTTCGATTTTAAAAGAAACAGAAAATATATGATTTCCTTTTTCTTCTGCTCTCTCGAGTTTTAATTGCTAAGATGCATTTCCCTCGTTCGTTCCGCTCGTCGTTCTTTTAATACCATAATTCAATCGATTGAAAGTTTCCTCGTATTTCTGGCAACGCTTCCGCTTAATTGACTTTTTGGCAATCAGCAGGAATCTTCGAGAACGCGAAAGTGCCCCATTTAAGCGCGATTCACTTCCCACAAAAAATCATTAAATTTTTACTTATTGATTTATTGATTTTATTTATATCATTTTGTCTCTGACATTAATTGATTTTTTGACAATCAACAAGAATCCTCGAGAACGCAAAAATACCCCATTTAAGCGCGATTCATTTCTCGCAAAAAATTATTAAATTTTTATTTATTGATTTATTGATTTTATTTATGTCATTTTGTCTCTGACATTTTACTCAATTATAATTTACTAATTTTAATAACACTTTGATATGTAATTTAATATTAATCTATATTAATATAATGAAATAATTTTTTTATTAGAACTTGGTACTTTTGTTTGGTGCTTTTCTTATTTCTTTAATACAATTTGTGTTCCGTAAGTAACGACGAAAGACACATATCTAATGTAATCTTTTCTTCCCATTGAAAGAGCAGAGATAAAAACTGATTAGGACTATCAGAGCGGCGCTGATGACATCTCGCAATGAATATACACAAATGTGGAACAAGAGAGAAGGAGCAATTTGTAACTGTGATCCGTAGTTTTCTTTCCTCTCTACACATTTACATCGAAATCCGTTCCTATGCATACACAGTTCGTCCATCGTTACCTCCCTCTTTTTATCTTCCTCTCGCAACCTCCTATCTCGTTCCTCTTTCGTTTCTCTTTCCACGGAATGTCCCAATCTGTCGCTCATTTCAGAGTTTCTCTTTCTCTCTGTATTTTCTCCAATTTTCAACTACATCTATGTTTTACATCATTTTACAGTCTTTGTTTCTTTTCCGATTCGTTTGCTTTGTACATTTCTTTTAGATGTTTTATTTTTCCTACATTTTATTCTTTTTTTACTTATTTTACTTTTTTATTTTTTTTACTTTACTTATCTCGTTTTTACTTATCGATTATCTTTATTGTCTTTCCTATTTTTATTATAAGACTATAATTCAAAATTGATCGATATATGAAAATTATGTTTCTTTGAAAGTAGACCTTTAAAAAATATTTTTATAATATGGTAATTATGCTTAAAGAGTATTATCTTTAATTGCTAAAACGTTCTTGATATAAAATATAAACTGTTTAATAAAATAATGAAATTATTATAACATTATGAAGAAAACTCAAAAAAACATCGCATATCTCTTTCTCTATATTATTAGAAAAATATTTAAAAAAACTGTTTGAATTATTAAATGTTGTGCAATTAAAAGAAATAATAAAAATAGAATAGGTTATTCATAAAATTGCTTAGACAGTTGGATAAAAATGTACGCGATATTTTGTTTATATGTTAATTGCACAGTTAATTTATAACATTTATCTAAACTATTTAGTTTCGAAATGATATCTCATCATAGAGCTTCGACTCGAACGAGAACTTGGTCGCGCGAATTTTGTCATTTCACGAGGGTGAGAAGTGAGTCACACGGCCCCGTAATCTTTCGCATAATAAATTGTCCCGGCAGCGATATCAACGGCGAGATCAGATGCTATCGGTATTATCTGTTATAGACGGGGGAGAGGAGAGACGAGATGGAGGGTAGGTGGACGACCGCGGAAATCAGTGCCGCTCTCTACGGTGCCCGCCCTAAGAGCTTTACGCGAGTTACAAATGCGGTTTTGTATCTAGCTCGCGGGACAATGTAATGGGCTTAGATAATCCTGATTTAATAAATCGAACAGTTGTGAGACGACGCGCAGCATCGACGACGAGGGAACAAGAGGGAGGGCGGAAGAAAGGGGAAAACGACACCGGTATTCCCCGCCCCCGTTTCGCAATGTGCGCGTGACTAATGCGTTCAAAAACAAGATGGATGAATCCCGACCAAGACTTCCTTTGCATTTACATTTTCGCACTGTATCAGTCGTGACAATTTCAAGAATAACGATCGGAACGGCTTTGCGGTTGCATCCCCAAATCGGTTTTTTATCGTTTCGTCGAAAAAGGACGAATCGTCGATTTTTCATTTTTCTCAACGCTAAATCGTCCAGAAATCTTTATCTACATCATACAATGTAGCTATTGTAAATTTTTAAACAATATGAAAATAATGTTAAAGTATTCCCAACGATATGTAGCAAACGTAAAATTTTATTGGGATATATATTCATATATTTCTCATAAATAAAAAATTTTATAAAATATAAGATATAGTTTAATAGAAATAAAATAGAAATAACATAAGCTAGCTATAGATTTTTCAGTTATTTTATAAACATCAAGTAATCTTGATATTTATAAAATAATTGAAATAATTGTATATTCCATCGGGCAATTAATGTATTTTGAAAAATAGAATATGACAGTATTTTTTATTTACAGCATATGCATTTTTAGAAAAGTAAGATAATATCACATTTGGATTTAGGAACGATGTAACTGTAAAAATGCTTTGCCGTCTTTAAAGTTTGTTTAGCAAAGTAAACCAGGGTCGATACTAATAGAGGGAAACTAGGTCGGTTTACGCGCGCACGCGATCCCGAGGGAGAGTTCGGTAAACTTAGCATCAATTTTGATTGTCCTCAGTTTCGCCGAACCATTGAACGATATCTCAGAAATTGTGAATTCTCGTAGACGGAAGGAACTTGTTTATCGATGGCATGTAATCGATATTTCTTTCCCCCCCGAAATATTTATATATTTTTTGAAGAATATAATACTTTACTCAATAAATGAACGTATTAATAATTCGTTTATTGATAAAGTATTATATTCATCAAAAAATATAAAATATACGTATTAGTATGTGAAAAACTCTTACTCCGATAATAATGAGATACCTACTTATTGATGAATGTAGGAAAATTTGTTAAAAGAAAAGATTTTTTAATCTACAATTATAAACTTCCATTTAATTTGGATAAAACAATCGAGCAATTTTTTGTTTATCAACCGACTAAGTTTAATGACGACTAAATTTAGCGCCGCCTAATCTTTTTCTCTCGTCTCCTGCCTTCTTCTAGTTCTTCATCTCTTTCTTTTACTCTGTCTTTTTCTCTCTCTTTTCTGCTTTCTTCATGAAGACCGAGCATGAAATACAAATTGGATTTTCGTTGCCGGGCCGAACTGCTTTTTTACATCCGATGCTTGCCTGCAGTCAATCCCTGCAGATTGTCCATTCGCCTGCCTCTCCGTTATCTTAATTCCTCGAGTATTTTAATTTTCATCCGAACAGCCATTAACTTTTACGGCCGGCCGTTTACTTTTTAATTCGTTTACCGCTTCGCGCCCGCGCTCGCTCACCGAGACGCTTATATCTTTAATTTAAGCTCTCGACTTGGCGGCCATTGAACAAGCCTGCGGATTGGGGTTGGATACGGAAAAGCGGCGGTGGCGGCGGCAACGGGGGTGACTGGAGGGGGGAGGACGAAGAGCAGGAAGAGAAGGAGGAGGAGGAGTTTAGCGGGGGCCACATGGGCTGGCATGGATCGGGGGTGGTTTGTGGGTGCAATCGCACTACGGTGAAGCGTTCCCCCGTGCTCCCCTGACACCCGTTACGTTAATTAAATACATTGTTGTGGGGACACAGACTCCTACTGTGTATCTCGAGCTTTATAGGTGCGGAGGGGCACCTTAAGTTAACGCCATTTCCAAGCCCCCCCAGTCCCCGCGGGAGACTGGTCGCCGATGAATTTTCTCCGGGATCCGTTAATTCAAATGTTATAGACGCCCGCTAGAGTCGAGGTCGGCGTATTAATCGAGAGAGATCGAATGAAGACCGCGAGCGATGTTAAGAGTATCAAGAGTCGGTAGTCTCGATAAACGGTCATTTCGCGATGGAGATTTTTTATTTCGAAGATTGTTTCATCCTTTGGAGAAATCAGATTAACATATTTGCAAATATTTAAAAAAAACCATCTCACCAGATATCCTTTATTTCATACTTATAATTTTATCAAAAATAAATTATGATGTTGCCGTGACATTTTGTATCAAGATTCGTTTAAGGTGTAGTAAAGATTATTATTATTCGATGATAAGAAAGTTGTGACCAATTCTTTGATCTTGGAGACGTTTTAATTTTACATTATGTATACAAAAAATTTCAGAAATATTGATTTAAAAAAAATCCTCCACTACTTTATACCACTTTATCGTTTTATAAGCAATATAAAATTGCGTAAACATGAACAGAATTAATTAGAAGTACCGAACTCGATTTTAATCTTTCGAATGTCGGGATACGTCGAAGAATGCAAAATGATGATTGAAAATCTACTGACACGAGCATTCAATTTCCGACCTTTCAGGTATGGTTCCAGAACCGGCGGACAAAGTGGCGGAAGAAGCACGCGGCGGAGATGGCGACGGCGAAACGACGGCAGGAGGAGGTCGAGGGCGTCGTCGCCGAGGGTGAGGACGGATGCAGCGACGCGGAAACCGATGGTGGTAGCGGCAGTGGCGGCGGCGGCGACACCGCCGCGAAGAGGCTGCGAAGGGAGCTCGAGCAGCAGTACAGGCATTGAGAACCGCCGGTCGGGGCGGCGGGGGTGACCCGGGGACACGCGGGGACGCGAAAAAAGGGAAAAGAGGGTTGCGAGAGGAGAAGGATAAGGCGTGGCCCGGGGGCGGCGCGTACCCAAGGATTCCTCGCGGCTTGTTCGGAGAACAACGCGCGTGTCGGCTCGCGGATGATCGCGGAACGAGTGAACGGCGGCGCAGAGAAAGAAAGAGAAAGAGAGAGAGAGAGAGAGAGAGAGAGAGAGAGAAAGGGGAGACGTACGTATAATATACGTGAGTGTGTGTCCGCGTGTCTTTCTTCGTGATTTAGCCGGACGCTTAACGCGGCATCGCAAGTGATGTACGGGATGTCCGGGAAGTCTTTCGCGTCTTCCTCGGGACGAAAGTACGAGAGACGATTTAAAAAATTTAATAGAGAGCGGAGAGAGATCGCGAGAATATTGATGCTGCGTGAAGTCGATTCTTGTTGAATTATAAGCGGAACATAATTAAAAGGTTTATAAGGAGATAGAGAGAAGAGGTGTAATTTCCGGTTAACTACAAGGATTTTATACTTGGACTTTGATTAGAAGTTTTTAATTATCCATTCCCTAGTCTTTCCTAAAGATTGATTTTTCAAAATTATTAAGGCGGCCGAGAGAAGCGCGAATTGTAAGATGCCTGATTATCAAATCTTCGCGTTTCGCGATAGTGCTGAGTTGTTTGCAATCATGCCGTTATAGTCGAGGATAGTCTTCTTGAAGTGAATAGATCTTTATGGCGACTGTCGTAATTTTGACGGATGCTTCGATTGACTACGAAATCGCGAATATCGCGCTGATTTTGTCGATGGCGGATTTTGTGAGTGCTCAAGAACTAGCGACTCGGTTTTGATTAAACGTTAACCAAAGAATAATTATTTATATTGAGATTGAGTGTTATATAAATTAATGTGTAAAGCAAAATATATTCCCAGCTTGTTTCGAATTAATTATGAAAAGTCGCGAACAATAATTGAGCAAAGAAATTTCTCGAGGTCGAATAAAAAAATTGACGCACCGTAATTTTGTCATCGGACAATATAATTTAGTGACCATTTGAATCCGAACTACGTATTATTGTCAAATTAATCCAAGTGATTAATGTAACAATTCTAAGTATCAATAATTAAGTCTATCGATTTGTCGCTGTTTCACGATCAAATGTCGTCGGTCCCGAAATTCTGAAGTATCGTTCGGTCAAATTGAAATACGAATCAAGGACGATCGCGCGGTTGTCGACCCGAGAAAGTCTAATTAATCGCGAGCAGTTACGACACCAATTTATTATCATAAACTGAGCTTGCTTTCGTGACTACGGTAATACTTCACGATTACCTTGCTCCAAGAGATAAATACGAATCTAGATGTGTATATTAAATGAGTCTTTTAATCGGAATTGGCTCATTAGACAGATATATTGCATTTTAAATGTCGATATTTATGTACAAATTTATTTTTTCCGGACAAGATTATGAAATAGCATATAATCATAAATTAATCATTTTTAAGTTATTGATAAAGTGTGATATCGATAAAAACCTGAGTCACGTAAATCTGTATCTATCAATTTGAAATCAACTTGACAACTTGAATCGTGTGATAACTTCGTTGCTCCAATTACGTCGTGTTTGACACGAAACTATAGCGACACATCCAAATATATATTGTTAACACCCTTCTGGATAGGCGAGCGTGTGTTATCAGGCCCAAAATCTCTCGATCACGTGTACATATTTAGTCGCTGCGAGAGCATACGGAGGAATCGATAGGAAGGGTTTGTCGAGCTGCTTACGCGATGGCAGATTAGTCGCTGGGGCTTTGTTATCCATCCGACAAACAACGCACGGCAAATATGGTAAACAACGCATGGCAACGTAACGTCAGCCCCCGTCAAGAAGGTGTTTTAATGGATAACCATAAATCCAAGGACCCGACAATCCGTACGCCATTCCAACTAGTCGACTATCATTGGGAAAATGGCGCGGCAAGACCATTCTCTCGGTTAAATAAATAATTTTATGTGTAAATGTTGGATTCTCTGGATTCAGAGAACTATAAAAAATTATTTCCTACACTACGTTTGATTGATCCATTGAGAAAATATGTCGTTCAAATATTATTCACGAATATGACAAAATATGATGAATATGGCAGATCGCTTTACAGAACAGTGCCATTTAACATCCGATTTTCCACTCATATGTGCTGCTTGAAATATAACATTATCTATTTAAGAAAATAAAAAAAAGAAAATATCTTTCTTTGTTAATTTCTTGCAATTTTCTAATCGCGTGTTCAACAAATTGAGAAATTGTAATTCAAATAATGCAAAGTAATAATTTTATAAATTAATGATCTCTTTAATGAGTTGTGCGTGTAAATTATAAACTACTGTAAAGTACTATAAAATAATTCGATGCCATATGATTTTCGCTCTCTTTTTTGTTATCGATGTATCGTAAATATCGTTTCTGTTAAAAGAAAAAATTCTAAAATGGATTTATTTTTCCATGAAAATTTTAAAATTATGCAAAGTCGTTAAAGATATTTTCTTGCTTAAGGATTGAAAATTGTTAAAAAATTGTTTCACTTATTTTTGTATAATTTTTTTTTATGTACGAATATTTATTTATATTATCAAAAGTGCCAATTGCAAGAAATAAAGGCAATTATTTATCGTTAATTTTGTTTCTCTGCAAATTTTTTTAAAGTCACAAATATACAGTAAAGATATTCGAGAGATAATTCGGGGAAAAAAATATATGAAATTCTTATACATCTGAATAAATGCATGTCGAGAAATTCCACGAAAAATGGATTTTGTATATTATGTAGATAAACGATAAACGTGAATGTGATATCTAACGTATTTAATACGGCGTTCGGTTTAGGCGCATAAATGAAATAAGTAGATATCATCTATTGTAGATTAAAATATAAAAAAAACGCTGAGAAGTATAGAAGAATATAGCATATACATACAAATAAATCGCACATGGCGTGCGTCTAAACTCGTAACTCTGGCTCTGTTTTTCTAGCTGCACTTTCTTACATTTTCTGCATTTAAAATGAGACAGGTGTATATTCTGACTTTAGAAAGGAAAAGAAAAGCAAAAAACAAAATACAGAAAGTGCAACTAAAAACGACGAACCTTTTGTATTCTTGCCGCAGATTAATGCTAAATATGGTTGCCTGATCCCAAGTTTTATTTACCTAATTTAAAGATATTATTTTAACAAAATGTACATTATACCGTACTTTATAATGTGTGCTGTGAAATTTTCATTATGTGCTTTAATAACTCTATGTTAAAAAAGATATAAAAAAAGTATCCATATAGTACATTAAAAAATATAAAGATATTTTAATCAAATATCCAAGTAGTGATCTTTTTATTAAAACAATTAAAATTACGTATCTGTATAATGTGATCATTAAATATTAAAATTCCATTAAAAATTTTTATACACGTGCAAACAAATTTTCTAAAAGAAACTAAATTAATAAATTTCATCTTAAAATATGTAAAAAATGATTGTGAAATACATCATCATTACTGAAATGTAAAGCTATAACTTAGTCTGCCATTTTTAGTCGTGCGACGAGAATACGAATTATAGAACTTGATAAGCGTTAATCGCCATGTTCAGAAAGATTTAACAAATGGGCAGAACTTTGAATTCAAAAGGCTGATCAAAAAATGTTTCTAAACATAGAAAAAAAGAACAGTGAAGAATGCTATTTTGCGTGCTGCGATTAATCGAACAATCGTTTCTTAAAGCGCTAAGTCTCTTGTAACGTCTATCAAGTATCCGACAACACACATTGCTGTACAGTAAACTTAGGTAAATTGTTATTTGAAGAGGTAGAGACAATCTGTATAAAATATTGTATAAATTATACATACGTGTTATCTATCGCTTGTGTATTATATCTCCAATTTAATAAATGGAACACGTATTATGGTAATTGTAGAATTATATTGTATATCTCATAATGCATTCACTTCATTTATATCTTCTCCCATCCATTTTTCAATTATACAATTTTCAGTTTTGTTTATTGAAACTATTTTAACAATAAGTATGTTTCCATTCAATCAAAATTTTTTGCAGTTTTGAAAAAAGAGTTATTTAATACATGCTCGTTTCATTTAATTTTAAATAACAAAATTAGAGAGAAAAAATATTGTTAAAATTTAAGATTCTTTAATACAGACAATATTAATAATGTTCATAATCAAAATGGTTATATGTTATATTTTTGAGAATTAAATTCTTTGCTTTAAAAAAAAGGTATAACATCTGAAATATAGCTAATAGAAATATGAAGTATATTTATTTGAAGTATATTTTTTTGGAGTATATTTATTGTTAAATTAATGGTGTGCAATAATATAAATAAAGTAAAAAAAACTTGGGAAGAGACATAAAGTAAAAAAGTATATGTAATCACTCACCAGATAATTCAGTGAAATATATAAGTCACTCACCAGTGATGATTCAGAAATTCATGCTCCTAAGTAGACTGTCCAATCCATGGATCTTCTCCTCCCATTCATCATATCTGTAAATAAAAAAAAGATATATTAATATAAATCATATTATATATTATTATTTGTATCAATATGTGTAATATATATTGATTGCAGTTATGGTAATAGAAATATATAATACGCAATCAATATAATATTTCTTGATTGTAATTATGGCAAACTTAACTTCAATGCAAATTGTAATGAAATTATAGAATAATAATAATATAATAAATTTTTTAAATATATATGCAGTTACCCATTCTTTTTTACATATATATTATATATATTTATATTTCATATACATATATGCAGTTACCTATTCCTCTTATTCTATTTCTTTTCTTTTTTATAATTATTATATATAATATATACTTTCAAATATGCTGTTAATTGATATCTCTCAACTCTGATTAAAGTAGTTATATCTGCATACACACACACACACACACACACACATATATATGTATATATACATATGTATGTATGCTATATAAAACCACATACAATGTGATGAAATTATTTGCATCTTGTGTTAGTTCTAGTGATTTTTGTTCGCAAATATACTGAGAAAAAGAGCATTAATAAGCAATTAATCAGTCATTTTTAAGAATGCAAAAATTTAAGAATGAAAAAAATTAAATATCAAATATAATTTTTGAAAAATAATTTTTAAAAAAGATGGACTTTTAGACGAAAAATTAATCACATATTCATGTTTTAATTTTGCTGTTCACGATATGTGAGATATTATATTAATATACATACATTAATATACTATCGATTAAAATAAAATACACATCACGCACATGACACACATACCTACACGCACGTAGATATAAATACACATATACACATTATATAGTGTATGCGATTAAAAATGAATCCCGTGGATCCTGTGAAATTTTCAACGCTTCCATGCAAAAGCTCGCGAAAACTTTATGTATACATGTATACATTGAATTTAAAATTTGAGAGAAACGTCTACTGTGCGGAATAAGTTTCGTAAATAATATTAAATATTACCAAAAATAAAACGTACGCAACGATACTTGCGTGCTTGCGTCGAAACAATAATAACTTTAAATAACCTAAACATAAATAATCATTTCAATTTATTTATATCGAAACAAGGAGCCATTTTGAACGCCATCTCTATGAGACATTACGAATTACGGCAGACGAGACCTTGACCATAACTACTGTCGTCTCTTCCAGCAAAGGAGCTTATTTCCCCCTTTCGGTTTTATATTATATTGCAAGTTTATTCATAAAACATTTTCATATGAGCATGGATTTTTTAAAATAAATTTAATAAATTATTCATTTATATATATATATATATATATATCATAATGAATATAATGAATATAATAGTAAGACAAATGTTAAATTAATATATTAAGATAAAAAGATTATAAATCCTTGCAATGCATACTTTGTCTATTTAATATGTTCACGACATAATTACATAAAACATGTTTGACATAAAGCGTCACAAGTATTAAAAGTGACACTAAAATATTAATATTAAGCCAAACAATATCAATTTATTCGGAGAAAAGATGCGAAGAAAATATTAATATAAAATGTATATGATTATAGATAAATTCATGTGAAATAAATATAATAATATTGCCATAATATTAAATCATTTATCTATTCAATATCCAATATTAAGCCAAGATGGCTACCATTTAATTTCTCAAAGTTCTGCTCAAGACTTTCATCTGCTTTCAATACAAAAATTTGTGAAATTAATCTAGATCTATTTCAAAATTGAAAAGAAACGTATATTTTGCGTATATTTATATACGGAATAAGTTTGTATTTCGAGAAGGATGTTAAATATTTACCAAAAATGGATGTAATTAATCGCAACGATGTATACTGGAAGTACTAACAGCACTAATTAAATGTTCGATTTCTTTACATAGATCGTTCGACGCGCGTTTGCAAGATCACTGTGAGCGCTATCTGGTGTGGCTTCACAGAAATTACGGCAGATCAAACTTTGACTATAACTACTTGTTTTCTAGTAGAGTAACTTTATTATTTTCGTTCTGTATGTTTTTATCAAATATTTCTAATTATACATATATATACTACACACACACATACATATACATAATTTAAAATAATAAAGTTATACATATTGTACATATAATTTAATTTTAATAATTTTCAAATTACTCATACCTATTATTATCAATATATAATTATTAATATATAAAAAAAGAAATAAATGTTTCATTCGGTTACACAATATTCATTATATATACTCATCAGTTTCTCGTTTCCATTAAATTTTCCATTAAAAAACGCTTAATATAAAAAATCGTTACAAGTAAAAATTATATTAAAAGCTAATATATCTTCTAAATAATATCAATTTATCAAGAAAGAAATGCAAAAAGTAATATTAATATTCGTCTTATATATACACACATTTGAAAAGATTATTGCGTTTTTAAGGTCTTTTAAAGTGCGAACATAATTTCGAGCACCATGTAATACATATATAATACACACATATACAATATATACATATACATATACATAATCTTAAGGCAATAAATTTAATTTTTAAAACATAATTTTTAATATTTAAAAAACAAGGACACATGGCACATGCGATCTCTGTTAATAAAAAGAGAAGATATCGCAAGGGAGAGAGAAAGCGCATGATACTTACGGGGTTTTCAATTTCTCATAGAGATCTATGTACATAATCTCCATATCGCCGTGCAACCCGGGCGCGAAATAACTTTTTCTCCTTTCGCAGGGGCGAAAGAAACGAGCCGAAAGAAACACTCGTAAACAGACGGTGACACGCGCGACCCGCTCATACTTGCAGCCTCGAGGGGGGGTATCGATTTCGGATAAGCACGGTGATTAATGTTACGAGAGTTTTTGCGACTCGTAAAGTACTCGGCGTACGCGTAAGCGCGCGGTCCTGACGTCGCTCTCCGAGCTCTCCTCCGGGGAATTTTTTTCATCCCGCTCCCAGAAAGGCGACGGGAGGAAGGGTATGTGCCACGAGGGAGGAGATATACCCGCGGCATATCGGCACTGTAAATTTATCGCGGTGTTAAGCCGTTAATATTCGCACGCCTTCCGACGACCTGGCCTTAAATCAATGGGAAATATCCCTAATTGGAATATGGAAAAAGTTGTGGGGAAGAAGGGGGCCAAGTGCGCGCGCGCGCCCACTTCCCGCCGACGCTTTGGGAGGAGGGTGCACTCGAGAGTCGCATTAAAGGATAAAAGAATATAAATTGTCTTAACGAGGGTGGAGGCCGAGAAAAATAGCGAGAAGTTTCCGATTAAGGCTCGAATCGCGCGAACGTGTATTGAGCTACAGATTGCGCGAGAATTATTAACGACGCGCTGAAGTTCGGCAGTTTTGTGAGGGGTCGCGACGTTTGGGCCCTCCGATGTTAATTCTAACGACCGGTTGTATATCGCGCTCCTTCGTCCTGGCATGAATAAACGAATACGATATGCAAACGCATTTATATGTTTAATGTATAAACTATAAAAGAGAGAGAGAAAGAGGAAGACACACTTTACACAAATAATATACAATAATAATTATAGTAGAAATAAATTAGATTTGATAGAGATAAACGTATATTATATATGAAATATTGTAAAATTAAACTTAAGAAAAAACTTCCAATCCAACAAAGGAACAAACCTTCTATTAATATTCTTATATAGATAGAATAATAGTAATATCCATGAAGAGTTATTCTCTCTTTCTTTCTCTTAATATCGTAAAGATATCTAAAATATATTTCATATTTATTAAATCATTATCGATTCTTCATTAAACGTATATCTGCAAAATCAGTTTTTGGAATTACATTATAAGTGGTGGAAAGAATCGTGCAAATTTCCTTCGCTTCACGTACACATACTTATAAAAATTCATTAAGATACTTTGTATTCGATATAAATCAGCAAAAGACTTTAAAATGGTCAAAATAGAGAGTACATAAATATGAAAAGTTATAGAGAGTAAATGAATATGAAAAGTTATATGCACTTAACTACAATTGAAAACAGGGAGCAAATGAAACAGAAAGACATTATAGTTGCAGTTGATGTTATTGATACTTCCGACAACATTATGGCCTTAAATGTATATTACGTATCTCGTAGATAAAGTATAATTGTATATGGCAATAGCGCGAATTGCACGCTGAACTAGTGAGTTTTGGGATAAACTCTTTCAATTTAACCTTTATAAGTGCTATTTAAGAGCTAGATTTATAAAATTTTCGCGCGAATCTCACTATATATACATATTCCACTGAAATAATATTCCAGATATTCCAGATATGATGTCTAATTAATCACCAAACAATTTCTTTGGGCTATTCTGAGCCATTCATAGTGAGTTTACAATGACTTATACATAACGAGATATTATTTATTTATACTTTAAAATAAAATTCTTTCTCTCTCCTGTTATGTAGCCATTAAGAAACTTAATTATAATTAAATTTCTAAACTTAATTTTTAACTTCCAATAAAGCGTTTCAAGTACAAAATGGTCGCATTGCAATACTGACAGCACAGCAAAAAAGGCAGTTAATGCCAATCGGCCTAAATTACATATATGTATAAATACATATAAACACATGTATGTATATGATTTATATCAGTTACCATTTTTCATGATCGTCGATACCGTTCATATAAAATAAATAAAAAATGATAAATTTTACCTCAAATAAATTTCTTGTCTGTGAAAATTTTACCTAAACTCGATAAGGCAAAAAACTGTCACCGCTTTGTTTTGACATAAGAGCAAACAAAAACAAAATAATCAACTGAAAAACTCAACTATATATTAATAATACATACGAGAACTATATATTATTAATACATACGAGATGATGCTAATAAAGATAATCTATATTTGAATCGAATGAAATTTGACTAATATATATATATATATGTATATCTAGATATAATTATACGAAGTTATACACACATACGCGTATTAAAATATTCTCGAACTATATTTTACTTTTTTTTTAAGGCGAAAGACTGCAATGGAAATACAGAAAGGAATTGCCACCGTTCTATGTATTTACATAGATTACATACATATTCTTAATGAATGCCAGCACCGACAAAAAGCTTTCAATATCGTCACAGCGCCTATACGTTTTTTTTGCTCACGCATAGGATTTATCATAAAAAATATACTGTTTCATATCTACAGAGCATCAAGAATTATTGCTGTGTAATCTTCCTCATAGTAATAAAACAAAAATTTAGCGCAATATTATACGTAAGAGAAAGATTATACAGCATTACATTAAAATTAATAAAACTTTAATCATAATCGAGTGTTAATCTCGTCTGTGGGCATATCTTCATACTACATGATTGTATCCGAAAACGAGGTATAGAATAATAAATAGGCACTCGTGTTTTGAGACTTTACTTGATTCGGCGACACTTCCGTGACAGTTTGATCATCATACTTGTACCATCTGCAAATATTATATACATATAAATATATACATTAACAATTGTTATTATAATTAGTATAGGTGTATATATGTATGTATATATGTATGTATGTATGTATGTATGTATGTATGTATGTATGTATATATGTGTGTGTGTGTGTGTGTGTATTATATAGTAATCAAAATTTTTAAAAATATAAAAAAATTTTATCAGAAAATAGCTATACTTAGAAGAGATTATCTCTCTAACAATAAAACTAGTAAAAAAATTAAAAAATTAATGTTAATTTAATACTTTATTTTTAATAATTTGCATAGATCTTTAGAATTTAGCATACATACTTGTTGTAAGTAGCATTTTTACAAAACGCTGTGTAATGACCGCCTTCCATCGTTCCATAATGATTGGACATTGCATAAAGATTATAATTATAATTGCGAATATTATTCATCGCCTTCGTATTTTCCACAACGAGATAAGGCTTTAAATTGAATCCCGTGAGTGGAAAATCAACTGCAGTATTGCGTTTCTCTAACCATCCGCCAGTGTCGGCGAACCGGTTCAAATGAATTACAACGATGGGCGCAAGCTTGACGAAATCAAATTTTTTTGTTGCGTCGCGGGGTGTCTGACACTTCGGACATTTCCATCCGCTCACCTTTTGTCCCGTCACAAATTTCTCCATGCAATCCTAACATAAGAGAACGAAACAATTTTTACATTACAAAACATATAATTCCCATAAAATGTAACATATCTTTTTTCTTCTCAAATAATTTAGTTATTTATATTATTATTTATATTATGAATACAAAGCGCGACAAATTTGTGTGTGCATGTTTCATTAAGTAATCATACAATTGCACTTTGTAAAATACTCACATTTAAAGTACATCGATTGGATTGAGATAGAGACATGGTTAAACTATTAAATGTCTCATATGTAGTACTCGCTTGCTTGCAAAATGAACATGTAATGGTAGATCTTAATTGTCCAAAAAATAAATCTGATATTATAGATCTTTGAGAATTCATTGCCTTGTCCCATTCTTTTTCCGCGTTGGTCATTTCAATTGGCATTTTCGCTTCCTATAAAGAAAAAAAACAATCTGGTATTTTTCTCTTTAATTTTCTCTGTGATTAAATCGTTTTAAATCACAGATTTCTTACCTTTTTAAGATCATTGTGCATCCAGTCTAAGAGAAACGTGAGAAACTCGTGAGAATCTTGTTGTTCATAATTTTCAAACTGCAGTTTATGTTGTCCTACTGCAACCTAGAAATATTAAGAATTTAAAAAAATTATATTGGCATATAGAAATGTTAATGCAAAAGACAAAAATTTAATTCAAGTGCAAATATAATTTTAAAAAAATGGAAGATGAAATGATTCAGAACTTACTTGAAAAACACAAGATTATTCAATTCAATTTTTAAAAATAAAAATTAAAATACCTTTAAATCATGAGGGGATATACTTTTATAGTGGCCTCTCCATAGTACTTTAATTACTTGAGCTACTTCCTCCACGACTTGGCTTCGTGTCATATTATCGTTAGTTGTATTGAGATCGTCGGCGTATGAGTTGTCGGTGAAATATTTTGCCAAATTTGTCGTGTTACTCAGACATTGAATGATACTGTTCATATAACAAGAATTGCCCAAGTTCTTCAGGCCGGTTATGCCCGGATGCTGTAAATAGAAGAGAATTATTTTTATGCTGATAAAACATGCTATTAATGTATCAAATCACTGTATCAGAGGTACACACACGCACACCATACACCTTCTGTGTTATGACAAGAGATAGTATATTAATGAGATCTCTCCATTGAAAAATACATTTTAATTTTATTGTTCGTCTTTTATACATAACACTCCATTTTAATCTTAGATCTTATTTTAGATATATTTAAAATTTTTAAACAAGCTTTGATCGCCTTTTCACGATTACTAAAAATGTTTTCAAAATTTATTTTTATAAAATTTCAAATAATAAAAGGATAAGTAAATGACTAATCTTTCTTAAAGTCAGAAATTCGCAGTTGTAGAACTACGCGATCTACTTTCGAGCGTAATGTAATTAAGAGAGAGCAAGGAGATTTATGGACTTATTTACATCAACACAAGCGATGGTCAATCAAACCTTATACACATTTATTTTGACGTGTTTGTAAATAAATGATTTGCTATTTATTATCTTTTAACAAATAAAACTTTTAACAAATTAAGCTAATTATTTTTCAATTTAATGCTAAGACAAAAGTGCAGGATTCTTATAAGTTAAAAATTCATTAAGTTAATTAGTTAGTTAGCTATTAGTTTCACGAAATAAATAATTATAAAACAAAAGAACTAAAAGATATTCAATTACTATTATTTTTCATACAATTATTTTTCAAAGAAGTACAAATGTATTCTGAAGATACTACATTATATAAAGTGATTAATTTTTTTATTAAATATCTCTCTGATAAATTATTTCAACATTAATATAAACTACACAAAGCATAAAAATATATTTTGCTTCTTCTCTCTATTGACCTTCTTAAAATAATTAAGCAATTGCAGTGGAGTAAATTTCCTTTGAAGATACACCATTGTCTAACATTCACTGACATTTTCCATCACATTCCAGCGACAGATTACTTGATCACAAGATAATAAACACTATATCCATAGATATACTTGACTGTATTATTGTGCATTAGATTATAATTAAACATTATACCATTATATTAAGTTTGTGAACAATTAAATTTGCCAATGTACTTATATATAATTATTTAATTATAAATATTTAATTATATAATTTTTCTAGGATGATTAATTTTAATAATTATAATAATTTTAATCAATTTAATAATTAGATATGTAGAGTATTTCTTTATAACATTAATTTAGTGGATATTTTTGGAAGGCAACACATTTGACAGGCGATCCCGAATCTCGTTAAATATTACTCGGACACTAGCACGTGTGTACAGAACTACTAATTTAAAGTTCGTCTGCAGATTGGATTAAGAAACCCCACCCCTGTTTGCGTACATGTGCACATTTATCGTATTATATAGCATGTGACTGTGGAACACGTGTTCAACGAATCGCAAAATTTCGATTTCGTTTATTGATTGATGATTTGATGTTTATTGATTGATGATGTATTCCTACAATTATTATTCCTACATATTAATAAATATATTGCTGACTATATATATATATATATATATATATATATATATATATATATATATGTGTTGTAATTTTAATGAGCAGTAGTATGTATGCAGCGTGTTAGATATTATCGGCCCTTTTTTTCTTCCTTTCTTTTCTAATTATTCTTATTGTTATTTATAATTTTTTTTCTTATACTACTATTTGCTTTTAAAATAACTTTTGAAATAGAATAATTTTTCACCAAACTGTTATAAATCCAAGATTTCAGATTTCATTTTTACAATATGTATTTCCATTTAAATTATATATTTTAAATTATACATCTATCTAATCTTTAAATCATTAAGATAGTGATTAAAATAATTTCAAAACATCTTTAAATTAAATTCTGATAGTGACATTAATTGATATTTTAATATCCACATAAATATTTAAAATAAAAAAAATTAAATTAAATTAAATTAACTTACACTTCAAAATAAATAGCAAATATAAAATTACATTAATATAAAAAATTCAATGTAATTATAATTATACAAAAATTTAAAATGATAATATGTTAACGATAAATAATATTGTATTTTTGATTGTGTATTGTTATTATATTATCATTCGCAATCAGTATCATATTATACCAATGCGCAATATTATACCAAGCGCTTTATGAAATGAAAAACTGAGAACCCAATACCATAATTTGTTTTGTCCGAATTTTTGTCCCCAATGTGTTAATGAAAGCAAAAGCTGCGATAAATAATGTCTGTAAGACCATATTAGAGCAATTTTGCTGGAAAGCGCCAGCGTACATTTTTGTCCGGATAAGTACTTACAACACTGCCGTGAATAGGAGTCATTCGTTCCTCCCGATTTCCCCAACTAAGAGGAGACACTTTGACGTTTTCATTTCCAATAGATCCATTCTGTTTGCGAGGCGATATATAGGGCTTAGAAGTTCTATCTACCTGAGGTGCTTTACGATCTCCCAACTAATGGAATTTAACGCAAAAATGTTCGTGTGTAATTATGCGTTTGCTATTTTAAACAGATAAACAAAAGAAAACAAACTGATAATAAAAAAACGTCACAAAATTATTCATACTTGTAGTAAATTTGGACTTGAATAAGAGCGCTCTAAGCCGGTGTTAATGGATGAACCATCCGTTTTCAAAGGCTCCTTATGAATGTCACTATCATTTTGCTTCATTGTTTTTTCTTTTTGCTTCCTTTCCAAATCTCTACAATCATACAATAATAGAAATTCAATAAAATCAAGAAATAATGTTATTGTAAAATCAAATTTTAATAAAATAAAGAAAAGAGAGAAAAAGACATATTATTTATTTTAAAAAATCATTCAACAGTGCTTCAACGAATAAAGAATGAATAGAATAAATGACAAATAGAGAATTGAAACTAATAGAAAGTTTAAAACTCAAAACACAATCATCACCATGATTACTATTGATGATTACTATGATTTTCTGTTTTTTTTTTATCTTTTAAAAATTCAATGTCAGTATGTATGACTATCCATACGAAAAATAAATTTTCATTTCTTCGATGCTTTCTAGAAACAATAGATATATTAGTGCCAATTAATCATGTTTCTACTGTTATGATGTCACATGTGTTAGTATCTATTTAAACAACAGTATTATATAAAAACGTATTTTTAAAAAATACAAATTCCGAAACTATTAATAAATAATTTTTTTCTCTCTTTTTCTTTACAAGAAATTTATTAAATAGTAAAAATTTATTATAATTTTCTTCCAATTCAAAATTTATGTAATAAGGATCCCGCACATTTTATATAAAAAAATTGAAATATGTTGTAGTTTAGGTGGTCGATTAAAAGTTTCTTCAGATAATATCTTTGTATAAAAAATATCATCATATCTTTTATACTTTTGATTTTCAGACTTTTTGCCCGAGAAAACTTTTAATCAGCACCACCTAAACTACAACATATTTTAATTTCAGTCAATTTGACCAAAACCACTTTTTTCATAAAATTTGCAGGGTCCTTTATATATAAATGTACAGATATTTCACACATGAAGATGTGAAATTCAATCATCTTCCCTATTATTAATTATAATAGCTTATAATTAATAAAATTACACAACCATTGCCTTCTCTAATTTTGTACTGGTCTATATTTTGTTAATATTAAAATGTATTGTTACAAAATTTTTATATAATATTAATTGAATATGTGTATACTTACTCATACAGTTTTTTTCGTTTGCTTTCAATTTCTTTGATTTGATTTTTCAAAAGAGACAGATTGAGTTCAAGATTATTCTTCTCTTTTTCATCATTGGAATTAAATTTTATCATATGTGCATCTTTCATATACATATTAAACTCATTTTCAACTTCAAGATACATTTTGTGCTGCAATATAGATATTAATAAGAATGTGATATATTCATAAAAATTTGTTGTATAAAAATAAGTAAATAAAATTTATTCAACATTTACGATTCATATACTGTGAAAAAATTAATATGATTGAAGTAAATTGTTAAATAAATAAGTACCATGGCTTCTACTTTATCATTTAAGGATTTTATCTCATCGCGTAAATATTTTTCATCATTGGCACTATATTTATCATGCTGCGAATAGAGCGCACATTCGTGACTCAACAACTCCTCGGTCAGTTTCAACTTTGATCTCGCCAGTTCGGTTAGCTCTTTCTTTAATTTTAATATATCTTTACATCGTGAATCGTTCGTCAAGGCCGCTGGTTTACTGCTGCGATCGATGATTGGCTTCGCGTTTATCTCATTTTGTGGTGCTTTATTCGGTGGTATCTTCTGTTGAGGAACTAATGCATCTGGACTCTCTAATTGCGCATGCACATTATTACCGATTCTCGAAGACGGTCGTTTACTGTCGATTGATATCGTTATTTGACTAGTAAAACTTTTGGGTTTGACTGAAGAAGTGACATCATTACTGCTCGACCTGGCATGTTTGAATATTACTGACTTGTTATCACCTTTATCCATCTCCTCGTCAACATTGATGTTAAAGGCTTTTGTATTATTTAACTTGCTCTTCGTAATCTCGACTTCGTTCTCGTTTACCCATTCCGGATATTCGATTGCCTCTAAAATTTCGTTCTCTATGTTTTCAGATTTGATAACTTGATTATCTACATTAGGATTTGTCGTGAATGCCGGATATCTTTGTAGCCATTCTTGATATCCTCCATTTAGAATTTTAATCTTGTTATACTTTGTACCAGGATCCCAATTTTCTAAAATATCCTTTAATATATGTACATGAGTAGTGGTTGTCAGAGACTCTTGTGTAGTATTCCAATCTAGCAAGATTATAACGTCCACATAACGTTCTGCTCGACAATTATATAAATCATACGAATGCTTATCTTCATATGTTAAAAGATATTTCTTAAACTTGTAACCCAGCATTCTAAAAATAAATTCATCATGAGAAATATTTTAGATATCAAATATAAATTAAAAAAAAAGAAAAAATTATAAAATATAGTAGAAAGATTTATTTACCCTGTTTTAATTTCAGATTGTGGAATATTAATGCATTTAATTTGGAATTTATCAGAAAATATTCTAGATTTGTCATAATTAATCTTTTGCCTAGTATCAATGATCAAATATCTGGTACATTTTTGTAACAAATTATATAATTGATTGCATGATATAAATTTATCACTATCACCATATAAAGGATCATCAGTTGGTGTTTCTGGTAATTTCAAGCCTATGTCATTGTTTGGTGCATATATCTCTGTTACTTCTATCCCATCTGTTTCAACTTCCATTTTTTCTATTGTATTGCTATGCTTTTTGGAATTATGCTCATAGCGTATCTCTAATTTTTGTTTCAAGTCTGCAAGTATGTTTTTCACTTCATTTATCTAGAATAAACGTTCATATATTTTTGCTGTTTACATAGCATATATAATATACAGCTTTAGCAATATATGCTGTATAGTTTCCTACCTGATCAATGGTCATATTCGTGGAATAGATTGATTTACCAGCCTTATAATCCCGAGTTTTTTTTATCCATTCGACTGAATTCAACCATCTTTTTAAAAAAATGTACGCAGTCTCATCGTCTCCCTGCTTCCTCGCTGCTTCAGACTTCTGTCGCATAGCAGGAAGTCTTGAATATATATTATGTGGTTCCTTTCCATTAAAATTGATCTTGGCTTTTTCTGCGAGATCATTTATTGATTCGTAATTGATTTTATGTAAATTCACTGCGTCAGACATTTTGCTCGATCTCATTTAGTTTTCAGCACAAGATTGAGATGGTGACAATCTTCTCAGTGACAGTTTGAACGACAGTAGTTTGCACTGTTGTCAATCAAATGATAAACAAGTATTAATTGCTTAATCTAATTAGGACCACATACAGGTCATAGTAATTCGTGGAAACGGCCGCATACTGAAAGATACTCGAAGACGTTGACAGTTTTGTCAACGACCATGTATCGCTGTCACGTTACCGAGGAAACCACAACGTCACAGAGTAACAGTCAAATTTTCCTCTCTACGCGATGCGATGTAGATTTGTGCTTCGAACCAGAGTAAATGCACGGCGCGACTTAAAATATCTCTCCATGAATTGTAGATGCCAGCCGCACTGAGGTTAATTCACCGTCAGGTCACTGATAACGACCAACGATTCTCCAAGACGGCAACTCTTCTTCATAAAGCGGCCTTTTCATTGACGCTACTTTTTAGCGTCAATGAAATTGCACCTTAACAGTTGGCAGCCCTACGAGATAGGCTGTGCAGCACTGCGCGTATATAAAATAAATTTGAAATCGCTTCTAGCCTAACCATCTTCACGCGATCGACTTTATTTGAATTGCACGGCATCACATCGAATTATGATGCGGCGCCGATTTGTTCGAACGTAATTCGGGACATCGCGATGCTGTATAAGCGTCGAATGAGCACGCAAATATGATAAATCACATCTACTCACCGTTCACCGGCTGTTCCACAGGCTGCTCCACTCGCTCGCCTCGAGACGTCCAATTCCGATCTTTATGCGCACAAACTCACACGATATCATCAACGCGAACGCGTGACACTTTATTCGGCACTCCCGAGATTCGCTCGCATCCGATAATCATCATCAAGGGCGCAAATAACGCGACGCGACTTCGCTCCATCTTCGCGATCGCGCTATCACTGAACTGTGAAAAATAGCTGTCGCGCACTTTCACCGACATATTATGAAAGTCGTGCGATCATCCTTGGACACTTTCGACGCTCTTTCACTCGCGATATTCGTTTAAAAACGGTTAAAAGACGCGAAAAATGCGGACGTACGACGATCCGTGTAACTGCGTATGACTCCGATTCACGTATGACGCGTATGACGTAGCAGTGACGCGTATGACGTAGCGATCACGCGCTAACATGGCGGCCGAACCATTGCGCAGAAACGAATGCGCACTGGTTCGGCTGCCATGTTAGCGCGTGACTGCTACGTCATACGCGTCATACGTGAATCGGAGTCATACGCAGTTACACGGATCGTCGTACGTCCGCATTTTTCGCGTCTTTTAACCGTTTTTAAACGAATATCACGAGTGAAAGAGCGTCGAAAGTGTCCAAGGATGATCGCGCGACTTTCATAATATGTCGGTGAAAGTGCGCGACAGCTATTTTTCACAGTTAAGTGATAGCGCGATCGCGAAGATGGAGCGAAGTCGCGTCGCGTTATTTGCGCCCTTGATGATGATTATCGGATGTGAGCGAATATCGGGAGTGCCGAATAAAGTGTCGCGCGTTCGCGTTGATGATATCGTGTGCATCAAGATCGGAATGGGACGTCCCGAGGCGAGCGAGTGGAGCTGCCTGTGGAACAGCCGGTGAACGGTGAGTAGATGTGATTTATCATATTTGCGTAACAATTCGTGCTCATTCGACGCTTATACAGCATCGCGATGTCCCGAATTACGTTCGAACAAATCGGCGCCGCATCATAATTCGATGCGATGCCGTGCAATTCAAATAAAGTCGATCGCGTGAAGATGGTTAGGCTAGAAGCGATTTCAAATTTATTTTATATACGCGCAGTGCTGCACAGCCTATCTCATAGGGCTGCCAACTGTTAAGGTGCGGCCTCATTGACGCTAAAAAGTAGCGTCAACCATTGGTTGAACAAAGAGGTAAGTATAGTTGCTTCATTGTTCAACCAATGGTTGACGCTACTTTTTAGCGTCAATGAGGCCGCATCTTAAGGTGCAATTTCATTGACGCTAAAAAGTAGCGTCAATGAAAAGGCCGCTTTACACACTGAAAAAGTTGAAACTGTTTGAACTTTATTTTATTGACGCCATATCTAGAGAAAGTCTAGTGATTTTAATTTGCCGCTGGTTTCTAGCGTCAATGAAATTGCACCTTAATGCAATGTTCACACTGCGTCGACATCTGACGTGTCTGATATCCAATAGAAAAGCTTTTTTTTAGTGATTTTAACTAGTAATATTTTGAGATCTAGAACGGTAGTTTTCTATTGGATATTGGACATCACGGGTCTGTTCTTTTCAGCTGCACTGCTGCACTAGTGCGATAAGTTAGAAAGAGCAAACATACTTTCTTTCACTCTAGCAAACTGCACTAGTGTAGCAGCTGAAAAGAACAGACCTCTTATATGGGTGTCATGTTCGCGATGATTCATGGTGATATACTGATAGTGATTTGCGGAGCTTGAAAATTTGTTAAAACAATATTTAAAGAATTACAATCACTTTAGAAGCATACAGATAATTATTCTGGTAATCCGAAGAACATTTATTATATTGACACTCTTTGCGTGTATTTTTTTTCATGGAGACATCGTTACCAAGTAACAAGTGACAGAACCAGAATGGATGTTCTTAATAAACTTCGAAACACAGTTAGCAATACTATCAGCAATACTGTCCAAAATACGGCATACGGCTTGTCACAGCTGTCCAGCGTTTTACCTGGCAATCCTGTCACCAGGGAGTTTGAAGCGACCGCTCATGTGGCGAGCGCTGGACCAGGATTATTATGGAAGATTTACAGCGGCTACAAAAAGTCTACCAAACAGGAAGCTGCGATTTTTGTCTTTGAGAAACGTATGCTGGAGAGATGGCCCGCTAAAACGGATCGGGAACTTGTATTGGAGACTCTGAAACGAGGTGTGATGCAGTTGACAAAACTAAGACATCCGCAAGTTTTGATTGTGCAACATCCGTTGGAGGAATCGAGGGACAGTCTTGCGTTTGCGACTGAACCAGTATTTGCTAGTCTGGCTAATGTACTAGGTAAACAGATCCTTCTTTATGTATCTTAAATTTTATATTATTAAAGGAATTAAATTAAGTCACATTGAAATCAATACTCTGTTTTAGTTTTTATGTGTAACATTTCCAAGTAAAATATATTTTAGGAAATTATGAGAATATACCTCAACCAACTCCAGCAAATTTGAAAGATTATAAACTACATGACATAGAAATACGCTATGGATTGTTGCAATTGGGAGAAGGTTTGGCATTTTTACATGGTGATGTAAAACTATTGCATAGGAATCTGTGTCCAGAATCAATTGTTATTAATATTCATGGAGCTTGGAAGATATTTGGTTTTGACTTCTGTGCCTTAAATCAAAATCCAGACAGCAAGCAGGTATAAAAATTAGCAATATAAAAAGCCTTATATAATTAGTAACTAATTATAATTATTATGTGTCATTCAATTTTTATATTCTATAATATAAAACAAATTTGCACAGTATGTAATTATTAATAAATGATTTAATCGTTCTATTTTGTATCTGTATGAGTTGTATATTTTTTGTATTGCAGCCATCGTGGTTATATCAAGAATATGATCCGACACTACCAGCAGTTGTGCAACCTCAGTTAAATTATCAGGCACCTGAGTGTATATTAGCAAGTAGTAATGGACCAGCAAGTGATATGTTTGCCTTAGGCATGCTGGTATATACAATACATTCCTTGCAACATCAACCACTTTATGAATCTCATAATGATTTAGGAAAGTGTCGACGTTTCCTGGAAAATTTTAAGGGATTCAATGTATCAGCAAAATTACTTCCAATTCCTGAGACTCTGAGAGATACCGTAAAGCTTATGTTGAGTCATAGTCCAGAATTGAGATTAGATGCTCATCAATTTATTAAGGTAATTTCTTCTTGAATTAATATATTTTGAGAAAACATATAATTTTATTTTAATTTTTGATTAAATATATAAAAAATTTTTAATTTTTTATATATTTAATCAAAATATTTAAGTAAATTGAGGTAATTAAAGTTTTGTTTCCATTATTGTAGATCGAATATTTTACGGACATTGGTGTTAAGACATTAAATTATTTAGACAAATTATTCCAATGGGATAATCTTCAAAAATCGCAATTTTACAAAGGTCTTCCACAATTGTTGAAACAATTACCACATAGAGTTACTCTTCATAGAGTATTACCTGCACTTTATAAAGAATTGGTTAATCCACCTATGATACCATTCGTGTTGCCAAGTATACTGCAAGTTATGGAAGTTACTGAATTAGAGGAGTTTCGAGAACACATTCTCCCTAATTTGAAACCTGTTCTTGCTTTGGAAGATCCGCCACAAGTAAGTACATATTTGTACGAAAATCAGTGAATAAAATGTGTAAAAGGTATAAAATAAAAATGATAATAATAACACTATAATGAATGTTTATATAATTTTCATACAATAACAAATAAAAACATATGTATTAATATATCTTTTACAGATCAGTTTAGTTCTCATGCAGCAAATAAATTTATTATTGAAACTGTGCCCTACAGACGTCATAAAGACCGATATAGTGCCTATGCTACTGCATGCATTGGAATCTGAATGGGAACAGCTCCAAGAGCTCTGTTTGTCGGCATTGCCGAACATAGCAACGATGATCGAGGGACCAGTTATTAAAAATGCTATACTGCCGCGAATGAAAAAGATTTGTTTGTCGCCAGGAAAGAAATCTACTAGTCTTGGAGTACGCGTTAACTGCTTGCTGTGTCTTGCGAAAATGTTGCCAAATCTTGATCGCTGGCTGGTGTTTGATCAAATATTACCGTTCCTACAAGAAGTTCCTCATTCTGGCGAACCAGCCATTTTAATGGCTATTATAGGTAATAAATTTTGTGCATGTATAAAAATATTAATTCTTTTTCTTTTTGTAAAACATATAAATGTTTAAACATTTTTTCACACACATACATTTAGATTTTATTCTAGAAATTTATTCTAGAATTTCTAGAATATTATTCTAGAAATTTATTTAAAAGATATTTTTCTAATGTCAATAGGTATTTATCGAATGCTACTAACTCATAGTAAGTTAGGTATGAGCAAAGAAATATTGGCGACGAAAGTATTACCGTTCCTATTGCCTCTTTGCATAGAGCAAAATCTTAGCATGTCGCAGTATGAGACTCTTTCCACATTGGTCGTTGATATGATAAATCGAGTAACTAGCGAACATCGAGAAGCGTTACGACAATTGGACGCAGTACGTCGCGAGACCCAACAATTCGATCAGGCACTTTCTCAAGTAACGTCGCCCACTTTTATGCAAAACAATAGCTTGAGCGACATTAATTTGACGCCCGAAATTCCACCCTCGAACACTAATCCTAAACCTGTAAATATTGAAAATGGATTAACCATGGAGGATAAACTCAGGTTTGTTTCAATATTTTAAAAATTCTGTATGTTTCATACATTTATTTCGTATTAATTGGAATATTAAATATTTGACAATTTTTTTCTAGATTAATTCATCAGCAAGAAGCGCATCAAAGATTGCAATCTCAATCTATATTGACTCCCAAGAGTGTGTCACAACCTATAAAATCACAACCAAAGGATTTAACCGCCACTTTGCTGAAAAACAATTTAGATGAATTAAATCTATCCATGTCAAAATCGACTATGTCGCAGCCAGATTATTCTAAAAATACTACATACAAGTATAATGAGACTAGTTTAACGCAATCGCAATTTTTAACATCTCCAACGCAAGCAATGTCGAATAACATTTTAACGAATAGACCAATGAATTGGAATTCTAATGGCATAAATGCGCCTATAAATTGGAATTTGCAACAATCCACGTCGTGGAATTCTATCACTCCCCAGAATTTTACAACACAGTCAGAAATTAGGCCAAACTTAAACTTTTCCGGAACGTTACAGCCGTTCATGTCGTCAACTAATGCACAAACTAATTCGAACATATCTACGAATTCATCCACGCAAGATATCATGGACTTGCTCAGTTAATAGGTAACCCATTTTTAATTGATGATAAAATTTAAAAGATATGCAATATTAAAAAATAATATAATGCTACATTGCAATTGTAATACATTGTATTCTCTTTATCTAGTGGAATTTCTAGTATCTTTATCGAAGATGAAAGTTACCGTTATTTAATAAGAAATTATATATAAAAAAATATATTGTTTTTTTTTGTCAGCACGAGCAATCAAAGAGTGTAGTATTATACATATAACATATATATAACAATGATAAAAATATTTTATATATTTTAAATGCAAAAAATGTTTTATGTAAAATAATTCGATTACAAATCTTAAGTAATTAAAAGAATATTAATTTTCAGAAAAAAAAACATTCATTTAATATGAAAATAATATATTTGTGTAATTTTCTCGAAATTGATATTTTTTTCTCTTTCTAATCTTTAAGATACATGATTAAATTTTAATGCAATGTGCACACACATAGTTTTGTATAAAATTCGTCTGTTTCATATATCTATATCTTCGACATTCCGACAATATCATACTGATAACGGAAAAAATTTGTATATAAACTCTTCTGAATGGTTTCCTTATAAGTTTTATTGTATATTTTGCGTTTTAATATCTATGAATTATTGAAATAATTGTATGTATTTATATATAAAACGTAAAGACATATATATAGTCGACAATTGTAAAAATATATCTTTCAAAAAATATTTATCTCCATATTCTATGAGATTAGTTACAAATTATTACAAGTGCGAAATAATAGTAAAATGGAATGTGATAATAATGGAAGTCACTCAATTTTTTATACAGAAATACATATTTTCATTGTGATTTAATTTCGCCATACTTCCTCACGCTTTGATGTATGTATAGCTTGGACACGGGATGAAGAAAACTTTAATGCAAGAAATACTAAATGTAGGCATTATTCATTAAATGGTGCAATTCAGAAAATTATGGATCGTTATTTCCATTTTACATCTTGTAGTTTGTAATAACGTTTGTGTTTCCATATATCATAATGAGTCGGCGACTCCCCCATGTTGACCAGGTTGATGCGGATGATCACGCACCTTTTTATTAAGAAGATTATGATGATAGAGTAAATCTGCGCACATAATAATATAAGAATTTTTAATATTTAAAAAAAAATAGTTATACCCATCGCATGAAGACAGCCATCAATGGCGGATTGTTTTTGAGTATTTGGAGTACTTGATTCTGTTGTTGCGGAAAGGGCGTGTGCATCAGCTATTTCAAAGCATGGCCTGATATGGCTGTTGCTGTTGCATCAGCTGCTGCGGCGTTTATTGCCAAGTTAGGATTTTGTTGTGTTACATTGTTAGATTGGATCAAACTCAATGACGCGAATCTATAACAATAATAGTATTTTTTTTAGAAATAAAAGAAACGGTGAAAATAAAAACATCATAAATGAACTTAATATATACCTTGCCGTTCACTGATTAATTGGGATAAGATTTTTCTTCTTCTTTGTTGTCGGCACGAAGCGAGGAAAAGTTGGAATAAGATGAGTGCCAGGATTCTGATCCGGTAATAGGCGTTGCATTTGTAGTAGTAGCATTAGACCGGGTCTATAATAGGTAGCCCTATAATAGGTAGTCTACAATAGGTAAGCCCTAAGCTTTAAATTACTTATTGTAGACCCGGTCTTACAGTTATTAAAAGTATAAACAAACTTGTCTTGGTCTTGATTATGCAATTTATACAACATGGACATAGAACTAAATTTCGCTCTTTTCAGCGAAGAAAATTCGTAATGCCTCTCTCGAGCCATAGTCAAAAATGTGTCGCGACCGTCCATCAGATCGCAATTAATAAGGGGATCAAGATCTTGGATCGGCTATATTTAAGTAAAGAATTGATACTCACATATAAATAAGCAGTAAAAATAGGCAGATAAGAGCTAAGTGTAAGTTTGCAAACGCAATATAATCTATAGGTTTCCAACATGATTATCTGCTAGCATCTGTTTCATTGCCATCGTATAACAATACATAAAAAATTGTAAAGATACAAAAAAAATTATTTTATAATATATTTATTTTATCAAGTAACGTGAACCATTACTCGTGCAAGCGAGTAATGAAAATATAATGCATTAAATACAGTCAACATTTTACATTTAATATATATATATATATATATATATATATATATATATATATATATATACATATAGTTTTAATATTAAATTTTCTTTATCATATTGACGTATGTAATTGTTATATATAATATTTTGAAGCAAATATAATATAATTCGATAAGGTTGTAAAAAGAAAGTATATATAAATTGTATGCATTTTTGTAATATTATATTATCTGATCTGTTTATTGTTCTTATCTGTTTATTCTTGTTTTTTTCGCTGTTGTGTATGATTGTTAACATTGCTGTTTGAATTTAATAAAACTGCTTCAAATACACATCATGATCATATTTTTATCTGCTACTAACAACTACATAGAGACTGTATTTCTATTTTGCACGAATTTACAACCTTTTTCAATAACTTCGTATAAAGATTAGCCTTGCATATTTTGTGTATTTATTGAGAACTTTTTATTTTTATGTTTAATATAAACTTTGAATTTTCTTTTTCATTAATATTTTCTTTTCACCCTGCTTCATCCCTGCAATTTAGTTGGATTTACAACCCAAAAAAAACAAGGGTTTGCATCGACAAGACCCATTGTTGTAGTTATCGTACATCATAAAGAACCACCAATTCCTTTGTTCTTGGAACACCACGCAATTAGGTTTCGCAGACGCCGATAACAGTCTGCGTGTGCAACGGCGGAGAAATGCTGAAAGTATCGATTATTCAAGCTGTACACACTATCGTTGCCGTTGTAGCGTAAAAAGAAGTGTCAAGATGAAAAAAATGTCGCCCCTTCCTGTCGAATAGATACACAATAAATAGGAAAAGTTCGATGCGAAAGAAAAAAAGAAAGCTTCAAATAAGGATTTCGCTTGTTAATTGGCTGGGTATGCCTCCCTCTGTAGCAACCCTTCGTTCTCTTTAGACTTGCATCACGAAGGGCTGCACGAAAGTAAGTGGCTCGCACCCCGGGAAGTTAAGTACTCAAACCCTCATTCATTTGAGAACACATTATTCGCGATAATTATCGCTGCGTCTCGTTATCTAACGATTTATTGAGGGATAAAAAAATATGGTATTCTAAACGCGAAATTTCTTCTTGTGCGATATATAAATTCCTCCGTCCAATTTTTCTGTTATATTGATATCTATTAAAAAAAAGATAAAAATAAGTTAATGTTTTTGCAATACCAATTTATAGAAATATGATAGCTCTTTACAGTTTATGCAATATTTATTGATCATGTATATTTATCAATTATAATATATAGACGAATAAAATTTATATATATATATATATATATATATATATATATATATATATATATTACACCAATAGATTTTAAAGAACACTTTGCACTGTTAATAAAAGATAAAAGAGTTATAAAACAATCATATATATCCAATGTACAAATAATTTTTTTCCTTTATTCTCAACGTATTACATTAGTCGTTCTCGTCCGACATCATCCCTTTGCTTTCTACAAAGCACTAATATTGCTCAAAGTCATCCGACTCTGGCGCCTTCGCAATCGTTTCTTATGAAGGTAAGATCGAGTAGTCATCCCCGGCAGAATCAGTCTTGCCTTTCCGGCTCCGAAAACACGCAATGGCATGGCACCCCGAACGTGTATAGATCGGGTATTCATTCATAGAAGCCAACCTTCTGTCATAATACTCTCCCTCGAGGCGTACCTCGAACGACAAACGGGGGTGCGGGCGGCGGTGGTGGCGGCAATTCGACCCCGTCTCTACGATAAACCAAGAGAGGGGTGGCCGGCGACCCCGGCTTTAGTCGCGATGTGCGCGTCGCCCCGGCGCAGTTGTTCCCTGTTTCGCGTTTCCGCGGGATCCCTCAGTCGACGAGCGAGAATCTTATTAGAAGAATCTCCCTGAAATTTTTGAAATAATCTAGCACGATGAAAGAGTGATGGTGATGCTTAAACAATTCCACAAAACAAAGTCGTGAAAAATAAGCTATACACATTGAATTCTTAGATCTAGTTTCGATTTCGGATGGTATCATGTCATCATCAGTGTTATAGTGTTGACAGGGATTCTCCCAAGGGAACGATCGAAGAATATGGCGAAGAATACTTATTTCTCTTTGTGTTAAATCCAAACATCGCAGTTATGGATGTTTCATATCTCCAGAGAGATTCAGAGTCAAATCTATAGCAAAATAATTATTAAAATAAGAAAAAAATTGAAATTCTTATATTTCTTATTTATTTAGAAAAAGAGAAAAATAGAAAGAAGTAAAAGTAGCATCAGTTTCCTAGCGTCTCGTAAACATCGTCGACGTTCTTCCTTTCGGCGGGAGGATAATTTCGTGTCTGTAGAGGGTTGACCCTCGGAACGCGCGAGGGATGCGCGCAAGGGTGTTTGTACGGCGTGGATAGGCGAATCGGTAATTTCGCGTGTGGCGGACGGGCTCTCGATATCGATTCCAGAAGGTCGCCGCCGAAGTAGTCGCGCAGTAATCGTGCCCTCCGTCTGTCCTTCGGTTGACAGCAAGACAGCAAAACGTGCTTGTCGACGCATTATTGCGCGCGAAATCAATGAGAGGAAAGATCGATCGATCAGGTCGGAGCCGACGATCGAGCTCATCTACTGCGCTTTTATCGGATGCGATCAAACTGCTCTGGAGAAGATGAGGAATGCATCCGGATAAGATTACTACGTAAGCAAGGTATATTGATATTGCAAAAGCATAAAAAGTATTTTACAAAATATTTAAAGATGTTCTACTAAAAAATAAAAAATTATTTATTATTTATTATGTTGGAAATATTTAAGTGTCCTTCGATTTGAACTTTTGTATTGTTATTAAGAAGAACACTAAGATATTTGATAATGACTAAGATATTTGATATTTGATAATAGAGATTAATCGAATCCTGAATTAGTTTCATCGAATTAAAAAATGATGAGACACATATAAGATAAGATTTTTTAAATAAAAAAATATTTACAATATAGATTTAGAATTAATTATATTAATTACATCGAGTTAATTTTCAATTAACATTTAATTCTTTTTCTTGCATTAAAAAATATAATTATAGATTAGCTTTTAACAATCAAGAGAGATTTTCAGTTAAACACAAAGTAATATAAATATATTAATAAATAAGATTTGATAGTTTGATTTAAATATATAGATGTAAAAACAACCTTGTTATTTAGTTGTCGAATTTTCTTGTTAATGGAATTTAAAATTTGTTTGAAAAAGAATATATATATTTTTCTTCTCAATATTTAATGTAAATAATAGAAATAATTTATATAAATATCATTATAAAATTAAGACAAACAAAACAATTTTCGCTACAATGTTATGTATATATATTTGTGCATGTCTTGCGATTCATTTTTAAAGCCCTCGATGTTACTCTACGGCACCTTCTCGATAGAGGGGCGATGTTTATCTCAATATATCAATGTTAATCACCACTACGCATGTGTATAGCTATAATATATCTGTCTGTGTGCGGTCGGTATTCCCTTTCGCACGCAGCATCGAACTCATTATTCCAATTGCATAATCAAGCTAAATATTTCCTACATCATTCCGACACGTGAATTATTTATATTGAGCATCATTTATTACTTTAACATTAGTCATTGCAAATTCTTAACATTACATTAAACAAAATGTTAAAATTATAATTTTATATAATGACCTTCTTTATTAATCTTAATTAATTAATTAAATAATAGGTAATAATACAATACAATTTTATAATTTAATTTTTTTGTCTGAAAAATAGAAAAACAAATTATAATAAAGATAACATAAAAGATGATAATATAATGTTTCGTATTTTCTAATTCAATATAATAATTTGCTTACTTTAATTAATGATATTATTTTAATTTTGCAAATAATGCAAAATAAATAAATCTTTACAATTTTATTTTGTAAAAATATTTGTAATAGAGTTCTTTTTAATTACGTGAACACTTTTCCTAGATCCTTAATTATCATATTTTAAGCAAAAAATGCATGTATAGATCAGTTTCTCGTAAATTAACAAAGAGATGCAGGCAACGAGAAATCCCGATTTTAACAAGCACATTTATGGAAGGGTCCATCCATCCATCTATTTTTACGTTATGGTGAAAAGAATCTTCAGGGGGTTTGAGACACCCCGCAGAGACCAGTCAGATCTTCCCAGATATGTGCAAATATTTTTTGAACATAGACATTGAAAAATGATTTAGACGAACATCACACATATAATTTCAAATATGGCTTGAAATGAATAAAAAATTTTAAATAATTATTATTATTGAGAAGAAGTATTTTTAAAAAAGAATTTTTATAAAAAATAAATATAGAGATTTTTCTATAAATAATATATATATAAAATGTATTCTGATTTACACTTTCTCATAGTTACCACATTTTATATCAAATACAATTGTGCAACAAAAATGCAAAATTCTATTCATTAAATATGTTATTCAAATTTGTAAATGTTATTTATATTATTAATTTTGTAAACATTATCTTAGAGATGAAATCTTAGAGAAAAATCGTATTCTTTAATGCGGTTGGTACGGATGTATGCGTACGTGCGTTTTCTGAAATGGTGCAGTGTAGGGACACGGCCGATCGATACGGAGGCGAAAGGACGATGCCCGATTTCGATTTCCCTCCGAGAAGCAACTGCGGGGTCGCCCTAAGGGTGCAACACGTGCAATTATACAGGGTTGCAGATTTTCAGAAGCGAAGCGCGGGGGTGCAAAACGTACGCACGCAGACTGGTGACTTTGATCGTTGGCCCAAAGCGAAATTATCCTCTGTTAGCACTAACTTATTTGCATCTAAGAGACACTACATTTGCATCTAAGACTCAACTGTGCAAATATTTTGCATTAACATATCGCTTATAAAAATAAAATGTTTATATGCACACACAAAAAAAATTGAATTAATAAATTTTTTTGAAATTATAAATTCCTAATTTTTAATAAAATTATTAATAAACTTTTATTCCTAAGTATTTCAAACAATTTGAAAATGTCTTAATCAAATAATTAAAACCTGTTTTATTATCTTTATTTTAATTAATTAATTTAAAAATATATAGTGAATATGCGGAAAGAAATACTAAAGTGTTTTGAAAATAAAATTGAAAATATTTTAAATTATACAGAATGTTCTTTAATATTATTAAAACGTTAAAAACGCTAAAAGCCAGAATGCGACAATTTTTTAAGAACATATAATGCTTCAATCGCATGTGTGCACGGTAATTCCCGGAGTTAAAAATATTTCAGGTTTTATAGAAACATTCATTATTTTAGCTTATCATGACGTAATCTGGGTTACGCCGGCTTATTTTCTTTGAACATCTAACATGTTCTACTTTATTTGGACATTATCTAGCATATTCAATTTTATTATTCTGTATCAGAATTATATTAACTTAATTATATTATATTAATTTAATTGAGCTATACTAAACTATGTACTTTAAATATTCATTTAACTTTATCAAAATTTTATCAATCGTATTTTATTCATTATTTTTAGCAGAATAGGGACGCAGAATTATTATCTTGTCCGGGGCACCGAAATATCTCGGTTAAGCCCTGGCAATCATCAATGAAGAGCCGGACATGAATTGGATATCCGAACAGACATCACTGGGATTATTAATCATCCTTCTCCTGAAATGCGGTAATAATTATTAAATTTATATTTTAATATTTGCGAGTGTGCAATATCATACTGAAAAAATTGTATTAAAATCATTTAATGTACAAAATCTAAAAAATAATAATACTGTATGAAATATTAAAAACGTGCAATTAAAATATTAAAGTATTTGTCAAGAAAAAAATTTATTAATTTATTTTTATTAAATTAAGTTTAATTTTAGATAGTGCCTACGTTTTTCAAATTAAATTAATTAATTGTTGACTAATATAACATTGCTATTGATAAAGAAAATATTCGCGTCTTTAGCCTCATGTTTACCGGTTTCAGGTATCACAAGATCGATAGTAGACGTGAGGGAGCCGATATTATTAAAAGTTCTCGTTCCTCCGACCCACACAGCCTTGTCCGGCGATGTGACAGTTTTTATCCTAGATTCGGCGGAAACGGAATCTTTCGCAATATCCACCAATACCGTGATCACCAACGATACAAATGGTATGAAGAAAGATGAGGAAGATAAAATCGATCCGGAGAAAAACGAAATTAATGGAAGTCACGAACCGCTCGTGCTTAGGTATGTAAAAAGACCATAAAATAATTTAATGAACACGCACGGTCTCCTGAAATATTCCGTAATTTACACATACGTAATTTACACTTAAATAAGTGCAACAATGAGTCTTAAGATAAAAAAACCATGACGATAAAATAAAGTTATCACATTTGCAACTACATGTCTGCAGAGAGTCGTGAGGAAACTTTTACAGATATTTTCTAATGTTTCCTCCAAATAATAAAATAATAATAATAAAAAAATAATAAAATAATAATTATAGTTTATGTCTACATAAAATCTCACAAATATTAGAAGAATTAACTACGATTAAAATGATAATGTATATTAAAAATTGCATTTGTATGTTTTGTTTTCAGAGTACTATATGTCGATGGTCTCACATCGGAATTGATTGGTGATATCCCTCTCAATACCTTACCGCATAAAGGTGAGAATATTTCTGTGATAATACCTTGTGGTATCTTCTCGCGCGGCGGAATTTATACATTACGACTTCAGTACAAGTTCTCAACCGTGGCTGCCAGATACAACACTGCCATTACTGGGCTGCCCGAAATTGAGGTAAGCACATTAGTTAATATCAAAGAACATAATATATTATATAATTTGTCAAAATAATTAATTAAAAATATATCTATACGCACAAAACATAAAAGACATATATAATGCTTGTGTGACTTGAATTATTAATATTTGCATGATTTATTAAGTTATCTTTAGAATGGATATACTACTCTATTATATATTATAATAATGTATTAAAAGAGCAAGATTTAAATTTACATTCAGATTTTATACATTTTCTTCTCGAAGATTGTTAGTGGATGTTAATGTGTGACATTAATAATGTTCCAAGAATTTATCTAATTGGAATGAAAATTTCTAGATGAGCAGTGCCTTAGACGTAAAGTGGCCAATCCCTTCTCTGCTCCTGGAATCCCAACACTTTGGTACATATCCTAGTCAACCGGTAATAGCAACCATAAAGTACAATGGAATCTCATGTGTGCCTGATAACGGCATTCCCGTAGCGGCTTATAGTTTGCAGCTCATATATTGCGGTACTACCACCGCCGCCTGCGATCCACAGAACAATAGTCGCACTCAAGTAAGTGCTATATATAAAAGTAATAAATCATGTATGCGAAAAAGTGTACGCATGAATCTTGCGTTTGTCAAATGATAAAATTCCTCATAATCTACTTTCTCATTTTTTAATTTTCCTAGGTACTCTATTACGAGGAGATAAACGGCTTCACCTCGCCAAAGGTCATCGAACTAAAGTGCGATTTTTTCGGATTGGCTGGAAATTATGCACTTAGATTAAAGGCCTCGGACATTAACCCTTCCGCACCGACGACTAGCGCGTACATCAAGGTAATTGAACTCCTCACTCTAAGTAATTAAAACAGAATTATCATCGGAGAGGACACTAATTAAAAAAGTGTTTACAAGATAGTGAACGATTAATGCACGTTATGCGCGCTTGTTGAAATGTAAATAAATTAATTGGACAAGATATCTGTAAAATTGCATTCTCCTCTCTTTCACACGCAGGTGGAATGGTCGGACGAGTTCAGCTTCAACGTTCACGCGAGATCGATTTATCCCTGCGAGGGATCGGCGGGCATATCGGTCCTCTTCCAGTATCCAGCGTGTCGTCTTCAGGGCGATCGCATTCGTGTCTACGGTCGCCTCCGGGCGGACGTAAGTTCCTTGGCACCGCCGTCCGCGTTACATTACATCGCGGAATTAAAGGCGGCACCGGGAAAGCACTCGTTGAACTTCGACTGCGATATCTTCACCGAGAAGTTCATCGAGTACTGCTTCGTTTATGTGAGCCAGGCGATCACCGGCGCGATGGCGGAAGTAAAGCTCGCGTGCATACCCACCTTCCCGCTCCTAGGTAAGCGACATGCAAATGCGCTCATTTAAAAGCCTTTATTCTCGACAGATTTATCGCCTTGTTGCCGTCGAGATTGCGAGACATATAAATTTGATTTTCTTAACGAGCCTCACGCTGTTTGATCTAGGTCAGAAGAGATGAAGGGATAAATATGATTTTTGATGGAATAAAAATCTGAAACACAAGTTAATTTGATTATTATATTGTTATTATGTTTCCTTAATTTCCTCAAGCTATAAATATCAAACTTCATATATAAACATCAAATTTCTCAATAATTTTTTAATTATGGGTAACTGAAAGAATTAAATTAAATAATATAAAATATAAAATTATTAATATGATTAATATATTTATTAATACATTAATTAATTTCTCTAGCTAAAAGTAATATCATAGAAAACATATTCCATTCTCTTAAAATCAAATTTAAACAATTTTCGAAAGACAAAAGTTCGATCTCTGAGATATATATGAGATGTATATATATATATATATATATATATATATATATATACACTATGTATATATATATATATATATATATATATATATATATACACTCCTTCTTTCTCATATTAATTATTAATGCAGAAAATGACGCGGCTGGTTGGGGTCCTTGGAGCGCGTGGAGTCCTTGCAGCAGCTCCTGCGTAGGTGGAACGCGTAATCGATATCGATTTTGCGATACACCACCCCCGAAATACGGAGCAAAATTTTGTCAGGTAAATTCGATGATATAAAAATTGACGAATGCAATCGCAAACAAGTTAATAATTTGTTTTAAAACAGGGAAAAGCGGTCGAGACAGAATCGTGCGGCGGCACCGGCAGAATCGATTTTCAGGAGGCGTGGAACACCGAGGGATGGGAGTGTCGACACGGAACGACATTAGCGGCCACGAGACCGGAAGTCACGGCTCAGATCGGTCTTCAGTGTCGATGCGGTTGTATTATAAATTTCCACGATCAAATCTTGAACAAGATTCTAGCCGCGAATACACAAGCCTGTCCCGGTCGATCCTTTTGGCTGCTGCAGGTAAATTTTTTTCTTGTGTGCACATATATGCGTGTATTATTTTTTTACTTGGAACAGAATCATTTTTTATATTTATTGTTAATCGCAAAAGATAAAGTAAGGTTTTTTTATCTTTTTTGTTATTTTTGAAACGAAATATCTGTCGATCAATTTTAATTTGTATAGGCGAAATCGGATTACGTGATCCGACTGCACTTGGACCAAACGCAGTTTCCCTGTCCAGGGCAATACTTCCGCATCCGCGACGGTGATTCGCGAAGTGCGGAACTTTTGACGGATATTGCGTTTGACAAAAGCGCACCCGCAACGGGAACGATATTTTCCTCGGGTCAAAATTTACTGTTGGAGTTTTTCAGCGACGAGTCAACCGCTTCGGGAGACTCTTGCGTGGGTGGCTTTCTAGGACATGCGAGCATGTTTAGTAAGTTTAATAAATTAACATAAATTACATTAAACGAAGAAAAATTGTAATCTTTTTTCAACAATATAAATCTTATGATATTAATAAATTAATAGAATTATTATAATTATATTAAATAATTTTATCCTTTAATTTATAACATCTTCAAATTATCTTTTAATTTATAACATTGTCAAATTTTATTATATTTAATTGTAATTATTTGATATGCTTATGTTAAATTTATGCAATTTATTTTCAGAGAAATTATACGAAAAGAATAAGACATTACTCTCTTCGGAAACGAGTTCCACTTCCACTGTCGAACGATGGATTTTCTGGGGACCCGCGCATTTGGCGACAGCATCTCTTTTGATACTCATATTCTTTATATCTATTTTTCTAGCATTGCAATTTGCATTGAAATATAGAAAATATCATATCGCAGAAGATTTGGATACTCTGAGCGAGCATTCCGGTGAATATGTTTTACAATAATAAAATACTGTAATAAAAATTATTGCGTTTAAAAATTAAAATATTAAAAACAAACACAATAAAAATTATATCGAATTAATATTACAATTAATATTATAATTACAAATTATAATTACAACAAGAATATTATAAGCATAAATATTAGAATTACTAAAAATATGTCCATTACTCAGGATGTAGCGATACGATGGAACGAGCAAAATCAATGTCTTCTACGACATTAATATCAGAAGTCGTGTCTTTAGTGGGATTGCCAAGAAAATGTACACCAAGACTTTCAAAACGTAAATTGGCTCCTTGTGCGGTAGAGGACGGCTATGATAGTTCAGAAACTTTGGCAGAGTATGTAATAAGTTCGTATGATTAATATGTTGCAATTAATGCATTAACATTTATAATATTAATATTTAATATTTTGACATACTTTTAAATATCTTTTAAATATGTGTGTGATCTTTATAACTTATAATTTTATTTAAATTTAATATTTTGATATTGCATAAATATTATATATTTTGCTTTATTTATTCTATAACTATTGATTCGTCGAATATTTTATCGCGACTTATATTAGCGCGTTCTCCAGTATGTATATCTTTTGTGTAATAGATATGAGGATGAAACTAGTTTGAGCTCTACTACTTTGAAACAAGATAACGAAGAAAGCTCTATAGAAAGAAGCATAATACCGAACAAACTACATGTTAATGAAACATCATCGATAGTATCGGCTATTATGGCAGTTGGTCAGCCGGAAGTAAAATATGCCCAACCAGTCAAGTAATTATAATTAATTAATTTATCATGTTTTATGTAAACATTTGTTTTTCTATATAATATCTATAGAGAAGTTGACATATTTGAGCAATATAAATCGCAAAATGTTTAATAGACGGATCAAATCTTCAGCAATTTATGCAATACACAATTATTATATAAAATAATAGTTGTAATGTAACCTATTGTACAATAAATAAAAGTAAGTTTTTGATAGAAATAAAATATTTCAAATAATATATCTTTTATCTATGTGTATTTTGAAATATCTCTGACAGTTATATGTATAATTAATAGCTTGTATATTACTCATACTTGCAGGTTACGCACCCTAGGATCTAACACCCCGGCAGTGGACAAGCTGATATCGGATGACACAACATGTCAAAGTACAGCGAGCATTACTAACAGCCCTCACATTGCAAGACCTCATCATTATGCGTCCAATCCTTTGCAATCAAAGGTAAAGAAAGTTTAATCCGATTATATATGTATTTTATCTGAAACGACACAAATCTAAAGTTAAAACATATAATTGAGAATGAGATGTAAAATATTTTTTATATAATTTTAATAACAATATTTTAATAATAAAACATTTAAAAGAATAAATATTAAACAAGTCGAGACAATTTTGAACAAAATAAGAAATTGAAGATAATTATATCAATACAAGTCAGATAATTTAGGAGAAAAAATCAAAGAATTATGCAGTTTTCTAAAAAGACTAAATTATTAGGATTCGACGAGCAGTCCACTATCGGGTGTTTCTACGTTACGCAGCGGTAAAGAGACAAAGGATCGTCGAAATCGCGAGCGACTGCTTCAAGGACCGGGCTCGGAGTTCAGCCTAACTAATCCGGAGACGGATATGGAACTGGATTATTACGATTACAACGTAGCGAACGCCGGCGCCGCGCCGGGTTCGTATTTAGGTATGGATCCAGCTTTTCTCCTATGGATTCCCCCGTTATCGATGTCTGAGGATTCTGAAGGTCCATCTGCGGATCGACCGGATTGTTTTCAAGGCACGACGGCGAGTCCGACATTATTCCGACTGCCGGAGGAGATCACCGAGGGCGCGACCCTGACCCCGGCCGAGTATCGGCGAATGCGACAAAGGCTCGCGTCTAATGTCGAGGAGACCAGACTGAGCAACTTCGAGCAGAAACGCCAAGACTCGACGTCCTCGTCTTCATCATCAAAGAACGATTCGTCATCTGGCGGTAGTGCTCTGTCCGAGGATAGCATCAACAGCGAAGGCAGAGCGGCCAGGCTGAACGAACGCCTATTGCCAATCCACCGAATCCTGGAGGACTCTAGGACTCGAGTGAGCGAAGAATCCTTGTGCGGTCAGCTTGGGACCGACAGGACGCAATGCATCATTCCCAATCGTCTTCAAGCTACTAAATTTGATTTTTCCCAGGAACAGGATACTTCATCGAGAAGTAGCCAACAAGGTAGTTATGTAAATATCACCGACAACGTGACAAAATCGGAAGATAAAGCAGAGAAATCAAAACAGACTTCGAAAAGGTATACCGAGGACGCAATGCTCCATAATGCTACTTCGAAGTCATTTTTTAATCAAAAAACAAAGGATGTTTCCCAAGAAGATAAGAGGAATCGTTATTTCAAGAACGAGAACACGTCCAGTAAGAACACGTCTGGTAAATCAAGTTCGAAGACACAAGGATACGTAGATGGCAGAGAAAAGGATCTTCAGGATGCCAAAGACGATTCCAAATCGGATATCCTTTTGACGAATCTGAACGTAACGAGTAACCAATGCAAATATCGAGATTTTATGCAGTTCACGCAACCTCGAGAGATGAATAAATTGTCAGATTGCACCAACATTCCGATGATTGAGTTCTCGGGGCCGCGTTTAAACTCGCCGGCGACAGCTCGAAGACTGACGACGGACAATTTCAACATTAGTTTGTCCAAGAAAGAAATCCAGAGTCCAGATTATGGAGTCGAGAGCGATATTAAGGTGGAATCGCACGATTCCTTCTATGATCTAATCCGGGAGAACGAGGATGGCATTAAATTCGCGGACGACGATGACGACTATATCGATAACAGAGCGAACATGTGAAATCTGTGTTGTAATTATTACGTATGATTGCGCAATAAAGATTACTGCTATTTTATGGATGAGAATATTGTATTAGCACGATGACGCGTTTTGATAAATTTGACAAGACGTTTTGATACATTAAATGCTATATTTACTTTTATTTGATTGTGAATATTTTTTTAAAACTTTTTTATTATGTGTTATACTTTATTACCGTAAATGTCTGCAATTGTTTCATATACTTTTAATTCATCAAATAATCATAGACAGTAATAATCACCAAACAATTTGAAGATTTTAAAAATAAATGACGATAAACGTGTCAACTCGTCTCTCTCCTTATTAAATATTTTTTCTTTAAAACGCGGGAGGACGGAAAAGCAAACGTAATTGCTTTAATCGCTATTTTTATAAATGTGTAGATTATTTCTCGCACGAAATATGTAAATATATTTCCCGTCCATCGCATTAAATTATAATCATTTCGAATATTTATAGCTCTGTCTTGATTACTTCTGCCTCATTATTTTGCTATTCTCAATTACATATTTCTTATGGAGTTGCTTCTGAAGTAAAGGAACTCTCCATGTTCCTCGGAATACATTGTATAAATCATTTAAAATGTTAACAGTTAAAAATTAGATCTTATTATATTTTTACAACCTTATTGATTTATATCTTATCTGGAATATTTTGAAATTTGCACACAAATCGATGCACTAAGAATTAAACACATTGTGTATTTGTTAATTTCTGTGATATGTTAATGTTTTGTGAAATTACCGCGTGTACACGACATAGAAATAAACATTTTTCGTATATAACATTTCCACAGTTTTTTACTAAATTATTGTTAATTATAATAATGTGAAAAAAAGATATCTCGGTATATTAAAGGTAGGTAAAGTTGTTAATAGAATATTATACATAAAAAAGTTAAATTCTTATTTTGTGAGAATTCTTATTTTTAAAGTTTTAATTTGCAAACCTGCTAGCTTGATTTTTTTTAGCGATAAGTAAAAAGACAAAATTTTTGGTATGTTGTATTTAAAACATTTTCGATTTCTTTGTTTTGATATATTTATATTGCGTTATTTGTAATTTTATTCTTTATTTATAATATAATTATAGGAAAATCGTTAATTGTTATATTTTGTACATTTGTTTGTTTTTGTGATCTCAATATTTTAAAGACTTCGAAAATATCATTAAAAGTATTTCATTATAAAACTTATCAATTCAAGATGTTCTATAAAAGAATAATTTAAAATTATATACTATAAAGTCTCAAATAATTGTTAGATTTTATTAATTAATATTTCATAATTACGAGTTATTGAATTAGATACCATAAAGTTTTCAAATCAATTGATATACCTTGGGGGGCGTCTAGTATATCAATAACATCGAATATCGACAAATCGTCTGACAGTTATTCTGGTACAATAATGACAAGAATTAGTCGAATTAGAACCATTGATACGTACTGATCAAGATGAAAATACAACATGTGTTCGGATTTTTCATTATTTTCTGGCAATGCAGTATGTGAAAAATAATTACTTGTATCAAAATAAAATTAATTATTGTGATATTACACATTTTTTTAAGTTTAATAACTTTTAATAACTTTTAATCTTACAATTAGATATATCATAATAATGTAAAAATTTTATCATATCATTTTATTTTATCATCATTTATAATTGTATTATCTTATGAATTATACATTATAATAAAAAATAATATTTAAATAAAATTTAATTAATAATAATAAAATATTATATATATCTGAGATATATTAATTATATAAGATTAAATATAAAATTTTGTTGAAATTTTTTATAGACACTTTCTGGGGTTTGTCTCTACTTTCAACCCAACATTTTAAGTTACTATATCATTTATCTGGACTATACAGTGTACAGTTAAAATGCAAAAAATTAGAAGATACACCGTTATTACGTCTTAAAAGGAAGCTTCTTTGCAATTACGATAGCTCGATTCATCCGAATCATTTCAAAAGTAATGCCACCGTCGTTACTTTGAGATTGATGCCGAAATTAATGGAATTAGTAAGTGTATAATCATAGAAATATCTTGAATTATATATAACTTGATTATAATCAATTGTAAGGCGAAAAATTATAACAAATCAAGCATCACTTTTTAAACATAAAATTTATAAATTTTTTATAAATTTAATTTTTTTACTTCTTGATATAAAGTGTTTTAATAAAATAAAGATTTTTGCCATTAATTTTCATTCGTTATTCTTTCTTTGCACTTCATATTTTTTATTATTCTATTTGCAGGAAAATGATCATGCTATATTGTCATTGCATAGTTGGATAACGCTTGTGAGTATATAATCCTTATAAAAAGTATTGTTATGTCTCATCTATGCTTTAATCGAGTATTTCATTAATAGACTTGGTCTGATCCACAACTTATTTGGACACCGCATGATTATGATGGAATCAATTTTGTTAATGTAAAAAGTTGGGAAATCTGGACGCCCAATTTGTATGTCTACAACTCGTAAGTTGATTTTTTATAATAATTGAAAAAAATGATTTCATTTTTTTATTTTAAGATAAATTGCTTCTTGTGCACTAATCGTCTCAGTTCTCATTTTTTTACATAATGTAATATAAATGACTATTTTTTTCAATTCTTTTAGTGGTGATATGTCGGAATATCAACTCGAATTACCGGAGATGAAATGTTTGTTTTTTAATGAAGGCTTCGTTAGTTGCGTACCGGCTGTAAAATTTGTTGCCAAATGCGATCCCGATTATACTGATTTTCCTTACGAAAAATATCAATGTCGCATCACATTAGGTTCATGGAGACATACAGGAGTAGAAGTCGATTATCAGTTAGATAGAGATGGGGTATTTGTTTGCGAAGTCAAATTAATTATTTATTGCAATTATTCTATAAATATTTAAAATATTAATCGTTAATTTTCCTTACGTCTCATATATTCTTGCTGCATTTAAATTATTAACATATTACTTTTGATCAAACTTATGTATTATAAAATTAAATGAATGCATCTAAAATTAACTAAAGAAAAAAATATTTACTACATTAGTTTACTACATTATTTAATTAGCAATTTATATAATGCATTTCCTTAAATAAGAATTATAATCTTATTTCGAGATATTTATTATATCTAATAATATTATTACACAACAGTATTGTATTGATTCTAAACATTTTTACAAAATTGAATTTTTTTTGACAGATTACTATGGATGGCTACGAGAATAACGCAATGTGGGACTTGAAATTTATAAATGTAGTGAAAGAGATGAAAACGCATAAATGCTGCCCAAATGACACTTTTCCAACAATTGATTATAATTTTTTATTGACACGCTATCATCAAACAAATCACATAGTTAACACTATACCTGCTATTGGTGAGCAATAATTAACGAGAATAAAATCAAATATGATAAAGCTAAATACTAATGTTTTCTTTTAGTTTTGATATTTCTTACTTTAACGGTTCTTTGTTTGGATCCAAAATCGATAGAGCGAATTGCATTGGCAAGCGTAAATTTTATTTGTCACCTGCTCTGCTTATATCATATGTACTGGCACTTACCTTATAACGGCATTAATATACCTAAGATATGTGAGTAATAAGGTTTATAAAGAATATAAATATAAAAAGGAAGGAAAAAATATAATACATTAAAAAAAATTTAATTTGTATAATCTCAAGAAATCTGTTAATTAACAGAAGAAGTCTGTAATTAACAGATTTAGAGTACATTAATTATTTATTAATATTTAATTATTAAGATGTTCAATTATTAATTGAATATAAAATATATGAATTATTTCAGAATATTAAACATTAATATAATAAAATAAAATAATAAACTAAAATTATATAATTATAAAATTAAATTATATAATTTGTTTAAATTTATTATAATTAATGTTTACTATATAATGTTTAAGAATTCATAATACATTGCAAATGAAAAAGAATATCAATTAATGTTAAAATCAAACTTATAAAATATACGATGAAAATTTTTTTAAATATAATAAATTATTTTTATTATCTGTAGTTATATTTTATGGTGAATCCGTTGTTTTGGCTACTCTTGTTATTGTCTTAACGGTGTTGTTACGCAAATTGGAAGACATGAACACAAAGATGCCAAATTGGATCTCATCCATGACAATGTTTGTCTTGAGCAACAGCATTAGTCGTTTCCTGATCTTGAAGGATAATGAAACTAAGGTGGCAGACAAAAATATAGTGACTGAAGAAAACTCGAATGTTCCAAAATCCGAAACAAAGATGAAGGCACCATCTTGGAAACATTTTGCTACTACTATCGATTGGTTGTCTTTTATATGCGTGATTCTTACTTATATTATCACGCTAATCATATTTGTTAGTTAATTTACATTAGTTAATTTACATTTAAAAATATGAACATATAGAATATCCTCTAAAATATTTACTACTGTTTTAAAAAATTTATTTTTGAAGCACGTAAAAGTAGTAAAAGTCATTATTTTTTGCATTTCTCGATTATTACTGTAACCATTCAAGTCAATTGATTTAAATCAATTAATTAGTAAGTAAGTAAATAATAATAATAATAAAATAATAATGATAATAATAATATGAAAATGCAATCTCTTTTATAAAAATAAGTTATGTTTTTTATTAATTTCTTTAATTAATTAACTGATATGTCACTATTTTACATAGTGACATATCAGTTAATTAATTAAAGAAATTAATAAAAAACACACAATACATTATTTTATATATTTTTTTAAAAACAATGAACTGTGTAAGTATAAGTTCTGCAATGATTATGTCTATTAATATGTATTCTGTACATACAAAATATGTAAATAAATTCCATTTATTGCATTGAATTGTAATAAAAAGAATAAAATATAACCAAAAACTTATATCTGTTCTTAAATCTTAGATTCTTAGATTCCCGATTTTTTTTCTCTATGTAGAATTTATTTATTTTTAAAAAAATTTTCATGATCTTAATTAGAGAGAACATTACATAAATAATAAAAGATAATTAAGACCTTATATTTTTTTCTGCTAATATTTATATTTTATTTAAAACTAGAAATACTTATTTAATGCAGATTTAAAAAATCTGTATAAATAATAAAATATAGTTAAACTCATAATTAATACAGCAGCATAAAAGCTGAAATTTTTATTTTTTAATCTAGCTTTTAATTTAATTTTAAATTAATTTTATTTCAAAAACTAATTTGATATTTTTAAATAGAAATTAATATTTTTAAAAAATATTAAAAATTATTGCTACTGTTTTATGACATTATTTCGAAATATTCTATGAATGAAGAAATTAAAAATTTATAAAAACAGAATCTCAAAGAATAGCAGACTTTGATTGATTAAGGCATATTTTCATCTTGAGTCGTATATATGAATGTTTTTATATTTATAACTGACAAAACTTTCAAATTAACGATCTCGAATGAAGGACATTTAATTATTCTGAAAGCGATTAATCCAACTTGCCATAGACATATTCGATCAAAAGTGTTTTGAATCTGATTATTATAAATATAATATATTAATAATATAAATAATATGAAATACGTATCCTATTGAACACTATTTTGCCTATAAAATAACAGATTGTTTATCCTAATTAATGAATCAAATGTTTATTCAAAATATTTTTTTGACTTATCTAATAATTCAAGTACCCCTAATAACTCAAGATAGAGTTTATGGCATTAATCGTTTCCGACGCAATAACAGTTGCTTTATTTGAAAACGTTATTGTTGATATTTTAGGGGCGTCTAATATATCAACAGTGTAGAATTTCATGAGGCATTTGATAAAATTGTTCTGCTATTATAATGAAGAAAATTAGTCGAATCAGAGCCGTTGGCTCACATCGATCAAAATGAGAATAATACAGGTGTTCGGAATTTTTATTATTCTCTGGCAGGATCAAGTTCGTATGTATATGATAATTGCATTATCTTGATTACATAATAATAATTGTGATTATTTCATAATCATCTCTCACATATAAAAAAAAATTTTATATTAAAATTATTTTTCTAACATTACAAGAATCATTCTAATTAAAAATAGTTTGATGATGAGTAGATATTATATTTATTAAAAAATTATGTAAATATTTAGATTCTCTCTCCGTACAAGAAAATGTCGTAACAGATGGATGTAAAAATCTGGAAGATACAACACCATTATTGCGCCTTAAAAATTATCTTTTTTGCAAATATGATAGTACCGTCCGTCCAAATAATCACAACATAGTTACTAACGTCTCTCTAAGGCTGATTCCAAAAATGATGGAATACGTAAGTATAAATTATTAAAAGAAATCGTTATAAGAAAAATGTCCCATTTTAGAAATAAAATTAAAGATATATGATTGTTTGAAACAATTTTGATAAAATGTTTAATGAATTAACATCATTCTCTATGTATAAAATTTCAAGAAATTATGATGTTTTTGGAAAAAAATGTTTATTAGATCAGATTTTAACGAGTTCGGCTTATATTTTTAATTTTTGAGATTTAATTCAAAACATCATTATTATTCAAACTAAATTTCGTGCGCAATTTTTTTATTTTTATGGTTATTATAATATATATAATAATAATATTTAACAATACTACGGATACAAAAAAGTTAATTTTACTTACACAGCTTGATGACCAAGGTGTATTAACACTTCACAGCTGGATGTCATTTGTAAGTTGCAAATTATTTTGTTCTTGATGGCTTGTCTTGCTTTTAATTAATAGATATTTTAATCAACAGTCCTGGACGGACACGCATCTTGTTTGGATGCCAAACAATTTTGGTGGCATTAATTATATTCAAGTAAAATCCTACAATCTCTGGGTGCCCGATCTAGGCGTATACAATTCGTAAGTTAGCTTTGTATTATTATTATTAATATATAGCATGCTAAGAAGATTTAACACATTTTTCCGATTTCAAAATGAATTGTTTATTGTATTAAATTTTTCAATTTTTATCTATATATTGACATTTAATTATATGAAAATTAATTACATAAAATTAATTACATAAAAATAATAATTATCTTTAAATGATAATTGTTTTAGTGGTGATTTGTCGAACGATCTACTTGAGCTGCCTGCAACGGATTGTTTAGTCTTCAATACAGGTTCCGTCATTTGTGTACCGGCTGTGAAATACATTTCAAAATGCGAAGGCGATTACACTTATTGGCCTTATGATCAGCAGAAATGTCGTATTGTACTTGGCTCATGGTCGTACGCGGGGGAGGAAGTCGATTTTCATCTAAAGGAAAACGGGGTATATGAATTATCTTATTTACAATTTATAATTTTCTTTTTTTCATATTTTCATCATTTCTTCTTTCTCTTTATTTAAACATTATTCTCAATAAAATCTCGACTAATTAAATATAGTAAAATGAACGTATTTGAAATTATTGAAAAATCCTAATTTATTTATATTTTCTGAAATATCTTTGTATTTTATTTATAAGTGAATTTATATATTTTATTATATTATTTTAAAAATAATAATGCTTGGTTATATTTATTTCAGATTTACATGGATAGTTATGAAAATAATACATCGTACGACTTGAAGTTTATAGACGCAGTGAAACATGTTAAAAAATACAAATGTTGTCCAAACGATACTTTCCCCAAGATTGATTATACATTTTTGTTAACTCGGCATTATGGTATAAATCACAAAACTATCGTCACACCAGCAATTGGTAGGCACTTTCTTATAAATGCAAAGACACAAAATAAATTTTAACTAAATAATAATAATACTTTTTTTAGCTTTAATATTTCTCACTTTGACGGTGCTTTGGTTGGATTCGAGATCGATCGAACGAACGGCGGTTGCGAGCGTGAACTTTATTTGCCATTTGCTCTGCATATACGACTTGCACTGGCAATTGCCATATAATGGTAGTAATCCCCCTAATATATGTGAGTATCATAAAAAATGTAATAATTATAGAACATTTCAATTAAAGTATTTCGAAATTTAATAATTTAATAATTTTAAAATTATAATATTTTTTATTAAATATTATTTAAATTTATTTAATATATGAAATTTTTGGTAATTATGCAGATATACGGAGCCATTTCCGATTTCAATAATTTTCACATATGTTGTCAAGATCAACATTCTGAGTAACGTTATAAAAATTTTAGCCCGCGTTCGTTGTTTCTTAATAAGTTATTAATCAAAAAAGTTTAATGAATAGAACACAATTTTACGTCGTAGAATCATTTATATTTTCATTTATAGGATACATAGTAGCCATTATTTCGAAAAAAGCATACACACACACACAAGTGCAGGAGGTGCAAGGGGGAGGCCTTCCGCTCCCCTCCCGCAACCATCTCGCCGTTAAGAGTCGCATTGCGAAGTGTTCAATCACAATGGATATATGCTGATTGTGTGTGAGTGTGTGTACACATACATTTTTGAAATTAATAAAACTTTTTTTGTTTATAACTTATTAAGAAACAACGAGCGCGGGCTAAAATTTGTATAACATTACTCAGAATTTTGATCTTGACAACATATGTGAAAATTATTGAAATCGGAAAGTGGCTCCGTATATTTGCATAATTACCAGATTTTTTTATATAATTGTGAGATTAGATGTATTATAAAAATATTCATTAAAATTAAAATTAAATACAAATTTGAAATACATATAGCCGATTTATCAAATCACGAATTATTTGTTATGCATTCACATATTTCACAGTGCTATTCTATCGCGATTCCTTGGCATTGGCTACTTTCTCATTAATCTTGACGACTTTGTTGCGCAAACTGCAAGATATAAGTACAGACATGCCAAGTTGGATCTCATCGACGACAATGTTTATCTTGAACAATAAGGCTGGTCGTTTTTTAATCTTAAATGACGAGGAGTCCAAGATAGCAGGTGAAAACATGATAATTGAAGCTAATTCGGACCTTCCAAAATTCGGAATGAAAAAATCCTGGAGATATTTTGCCGCTATTGTCGAATGGTTGTCATTCTTTTGCGTTATTCTCACTTATGCCATTATCTTAATTACTCTTGTACCTATAGATAATCAATGATAAAACATTTCTTTAAAAATCTTTTAAATAATCTTACTCCTACTTTTATGGCTGATTAAAATAAATAATAATCATGTGTGTTATTTTTAATTAAAATATACGATATTTTTTATTTCCTCCACATAGAATCTTATTAATAACATATTCTTGTATATGTGTAGCAACTTCTATAATGTAAAAAAATACAACGCTTAATATTTATATTTGTAACGATAAGAAAAAATATAGTATCTCAAAAAACCTGTTTGCAAAATGTATAATGAACATATATCATATAATAAGAATAAATAAAACTAAATTTGTATAAAATAAACTATAAACGTTCTCATTTTTATTACTTCTTTCTACTTAAAAATTATCTGTAATTCGTATAAACATTAAATAATATTATTATTGTAATAATTGTTTAATTTAATAATTTTAAAAATGATCAATTTTGTACATATCTAAAGATTCCGATTTAAATGAGAAAAAAACCTGAAATATATAAATATATGAAACATAATTCAGAAGATCGAAGAAAGTAAATAATGAAATGGTTTATATTTTCATCAATAAAATATATGTTACTTGTGGATAATTGTTCTAAATATGGAAAGCGATATGAGTTTGCTATTGAAGGGGCGGTCATCAAAATCTGCAGTTTTATGTTTCATTGGGCGTATGATTATCATCAGTTCTGTTTTCGTATACATCGTTAAACGATTCAGTCGGTTTAGATTCGTCTGTCGTTCATCATATAACCAAGATGAACAGAAGCGATCTTTTTTCTATCTTATTATTTATTCTCTTTGTTATGTATAATGATGTGATAGCAAGTAATAATTGCAATGATGTCGAAAGCAAATCGCCTATGTCACGACTGAAGAAAAGTCTTCTCTGCGAGTACGATTCCGAAGTAAGACCAGTCCAAAACAACAATAACAAGACGCGGGTAACATTTCGAATGATACCGCATTTTTTTCGCTATGTAAGTATCTATGAAAATCATTTAGTAAATAAAAAATCTTCATTTTTCTTATAGAAGTTAATATTTTGTCAATCAAAATTAATACTTTTTTTATTCATCTTTTTATTCTGCTCATTATTCTCTTCTTAATCCTATATAAAATATATAAAATATTTCATAATATGAAAAAGTCTTTGCAATTTTAAACTATAGATTATAGGCCAAGAATATGCAATAAAAAATCAAAATAAAAAATCATATGATGAAATTGGTTAAACATATAAATTATATTTGTCTAGACCTTTGAAGAAGAACTTTTCGAATTACATACGTGGATAGGGATGGTAAGTTTATAATTAATGGTAAATATATAATTATATGTAAATATTATGTCATATAAATAAATTTAAACAAATTTAAACAATAGAGGAAATATATATATACTAATTCAGCTATTTGATTTACGGATTATATCTCTATGGATGCTTCTACTTTAATAAATAATATAATTTGATACGAATTTTTAAAACGAACATTTTATTTGTAATTTATTAATATCTTATTGAAACAGGGATGGCTTGATTCACATTTGACATGGAATCCTGAACAATACGATAATATCAAGTGGATAACTATATCAAGCAATCAAATTTGGGTTCCGGACATTTTAATACATAACGAGTAAATGCATAATTCTCGTATTTTATTAGTTAAAGACGTGCTAATTTAAATTTATCAATAGTTCATTAATTTTAATCTTATCATCAAATTAATTATAAATTTATCAATAAACATAGATTATTTCATTAAATTTAAATTAAACTTATATGATTAAAACTAAAATAAAAAATTTTGATTAATATTTTTTCTTCATTCAATCAATATTCATCTCAATAAACGTTTCAATCAAGAGTGATAAAATCTATATGTATTTTAAATTTAAAACAATCTTAACATATAAAAAATATTTCGATTCTGCTTTTTTATTATGTTCAAGCAAAACGATATTGCTTAACTTGTTAGTTCCAAGGTATTTATCGAGTTATTTGCATATTTAGACGAATTGGAGAGAGTTCATTGGGTAATAGCCATTCGAAATGTTGGGTCGAAAAACATGGAATGGTTCAATTGTTAACGGTAGCAAAATATGTTACATATTGTTTCGCGGATAATACGTGGTGGCCATACAACATCATGAATTGCACCATACAAATTGGATCGTGGTCACATTCCGGTGACGAGATCGATCTCGTTCCTTTGCAGAATATGGTATATAATTTATTCATACATTTATTTCCTATTAATTTTATATCTCGATAAATGTGATACATAATACATAAAAAAATTAATTAATTAATGTTCTTCTATTTGTCGTTTCTTTATAAATTAAATCGATATTTACAGTCATTAGAATTAGTTTCTAAAGATGTTGAATGGGATTTGTTAAAAATGTACGTAACTAGATGGGAAAGCAAGTATAAATTCAATGAAGGTTCCACAGCTAAAATGCTTTCTTATCATTTTATTCTAAGAAGACATTCGGGCATCATACGAATTGCGTATATATTGCCTAGTATAGGTATGTACCGCTGCAGTGTTTTTTTAATATTAATCGATATTATTTATACTATAAATATGTGTAACCATATTTTTTAAATAATTTTAATTAAAATATTGATAAATAAATAGTTTGAAATTTTCAATCTCTTTTCATTAACTTCGGTGTATGAAATTTTATACAATGTTCATAGTGCTAATGGTGATGATTCTGACGGCATTGTGGCTAGAACCGAAATCTTTCGAGCGAATGATTATTGCTAATATCAGTTTCATTTGTCATTTATTATGTATACAAGCCATACACTGGGAAGTGCCAAAGAGCGGCTTCAACGTTCCTAAACTGAGTAAGTATAGATAACAATAAAAGTTATTGACTATTTGTGTTTGTATAATATCATTAATCTTAATTTAAACAATAAATAATATTTTAATAAAATATTATTATTTCAGGAAATTTAATTTAACAATTAAATTTCCTGAAATAAAATTTTATTAACATTATTCGTCCAAAATTAGAGGCCATAACTGTGAAGGGAATATACATACATTATATATATTTTATATATATATATATATATATATATATATATATATAATTAATTCATAGAATCAAATTGCAATCATATAGTTTAATAATTCATTAATTTTTAATTTAATTTGCCATTTTTATTATAAAAAGGGTTATTTTTCTCATAAATATTTTATTTTTTATTTTAGTCATCTTTTACGAGAGCTCTTTCGCAATAGCATCGTTTACTCTCATACTTACTAGTATCCTGCGACACTTGCAAGAATTTACTACTGAGCCACCCACGTGGATTTCAGTCAGCACAACATCTATATTACGTAGTCGAATTGGACAAATTCTTCTTGTCAGTATTTTAGATCCGGCCATAACAGCAAAAATAGAAATTGACGCAGATGACAATACTGATCTTGTACAATCAAGTAGCAAGAAATCGCCATGGACATATGTTATAGTACTCATAGGGTGGTTTGCATTTCTAGGTGTGCTTCTCACTTATATCATATTACTAAGCACGTATTTTCCTACACATTATACTGTAGTACCATAAATTCTTAATATACAAACTAACTATATGTTTAAATTATAATATAATTAATTTGAATTATAATTGTTTATTAAAGATATATATCTTAATATTATTAAATTATTGTTAAGTAATATAATCTCTCATATAATAAAAAAATAGATAAGTATATTGGATAAAGATATATGAGATAAATATATCGGATGGATTCACAGTCATTGGATTTGCAAGATGCAAATAGAAAATGACTTTCTTCTTTCCTTTTTATAAATACATTTATTTTGTAAAATCAAGTTCGTTTTGGACACTTACATTAGTATCATTCGTTCTTAGTTTTTGTTCAACAATGTGAAAGTTATAATTTAACTTTATATTATATATTTTATAACAAACAGAGAAAGTAAGGTAAAGGTAACTGTCCAAAAAATATGTTTAAATGTTTTATATATAGGTATAGCGTTATATTCCATATATTATATTCCATAAACATGATCATGTCTAAAGAATACTTACAATTAAACTTTCAATGCAATTTCGCTGATATTCTCGATGCAGCGATAAACATTTTGTTACATTATGTACACATAAAAAAATTTAACATTTCTATTTCAAGAAAAAAAATTTTGGAAATAAATATAAATTATATTAAGATACAGACAATCATTTCCAATGTGAATAAGACATGTAGAAATATTGTCTAAATAAATTCATACAAATCGAGATAATTCTTCAATATTTAAGACTCAGACATATATAGAACATGTATACAACATGTATACATACATGTATGTATATGTGTATGTATGTATGTATATGTATGTATATGTATATGTCATATATATTATAATATATATAAAACATATACATATCGAACATTGGAGATATGTACTGATATCACTGGAAACAAAAAAAAAATTAATGAAAAGTGTTTCATATGTATAAAAATGTATGTATAAGTGGAATGTGAGCTGATTCTCACTGTGACTGATACAATAAATAATCCTTCAATAGTCTCGGTAGCGGAAGCAGATTAACTGCGTTCCTCTTGGTATATTGCAATATAGCATCACGGCATGCACTTTGTAGTGTCGATACTATAAAAACATATAAAAACAATATAGAAATTAAAACAAAAAGAACAAGATAACATAAATACTCACCCCCATATAATTGAACTATTCGAACTTGTTTTGTGGTACCATAGACATCCACCACTGCTCGCAAAGGTCCTGCTTTGTAAGGAATATCCTTCCCACATACACCTTGATCTTCACCATTAATGATAAAATGCATCTCTGCTTTATCAGGACAACCAGCTTGTGGCACATACATGATACCAATTCGACTACCAACGTCTGTGGGTAAAATACATTGGGAGGAACCATCTATGTTTGGCTTTAGAGCATTGAATGGAATGACACCGCGTGATGTCTGCACATTGACCCCATCTGTGACCAATTTCTTTTCTCTGGCTGGTATTCCTGGTGGTATACCTTTGATAAGATAATATTTAACAAAGTATATACTATATACAAAATAATTCTAATAATAATTCTAGATTAATGAATATTAACCAGTAAGAGAAGTATATGTAGATGATAGACCACCATCAAAATTATCCCAAATAGTTTGATTTCTTGTTATAGCAAGAATCCATGTGTTGCCTAATCTGACTAAATTAGGCATCGCATATTGGGGTAGATTGTTGTTGACTGAAGCAGGATCAATTAATGTAAGCCCTAATCGCATATGTCCACTCCATCCTCTCTCTGTCTTCTCAATTTCCACAAGAAAGATTTCTCCTGGTTGCAATGGTTTTTCACTGAAGGCTACTGAGTTGGCAAAACTCGTAGTACGTATTGCCACTGTGCTATCTTCGCACAGGAGAATATTCTCACCATGGATGGGATGAAATCTGGTTACTATTTTCCTGAACTCTTCACTCATGGTGATATAATGCGATGCAGGATAATGATATGCTCATCCGAAGAAAACCGCCTACAAGTGATAATGTAGCATACACCATATGCATGCCTAATTTTACCAAATCAAATAATATAATTTCTTCAAATATCATTTAATGAAACTATAGAATTTACTTGGGATTACTGTGAGATTTACTAACTGGGTTCAATAATTATTAATTATTTATTACAAAAAGGAGAATTTAAATCTGAAAAAAAAAAATGTTCTTCATAAAGAGTGATGATCAGTGATTGATATGCAACGAATTTGGCAGATTATATGAAATTAGCAGTCACTGTAACAGTCTTTGTTAGGAAATAGATTTTCAGAAAGACCATCGCCTTGCCTGATTTGAAAGGCGCGATTTTTATAGAATTCACATGTTGATGCGCGATGCAAACATCTGTTTAACGAGAATGATTCTGAAGAATTGCACTTCTGTGTTTACGAAGCAACGATTAGTTGTCATAAAGATTGCAAATTGCAAATCACCATGGCCGCAGTTAGTGTTTTTTTTCTTTTCCTTTTGGTGATTTTAGAGTGAAGCACCACACTGTCCACGCGTGCGCGATGCGCGACTGCTACAGCTGATTGTGACTGTCAATAATCATAATGTACGAATACATCTAGTTACGACTTTTGATTAAAATTACGTTGCAAAATTTATTCCTCGGAATAAAGTAGCGCTTGATTGATCAATCAAAATACAGACATTTTTTTATCAATTAAATGTCATTTTACTTCAAGAAATAAATTTTGGAACACAACCCAGAATATCAATAATGAAAACATATGATAGCTATATATTACGTTATATGAATGAATGAAACATATATAAATGAATGATTTTTTTAGCATAGAAAAAATATTGACAATTTATCGGAATTTTTTATAATAATATAATTAGATTACAATCACTAATTAATTATAAAATTTTATGTTGTATTCTGAATGACTCAATATATGTGACAAAGCTACAATATTATCATTAGATACTGATATATGTTGTTTATATTTATATATCAGTCATATACACCTTTTAAATAATAAATCCAGTTGATGTAAGAAATCTTGGGATCTGAACAATATACTAGGAGTTTTCCAGTTATTGGATAGCTGTCATTTTCCAATTCTCTCTTTTCGTTTGATACATCTTTCAAACGAACGACGATATTGATTATCTTGCAATATTAATTTATAAAATTTTGATTATATATATGTATATGTATATTTAAAAATCATATTATATATTAGTACATATTATATATTAGTATCGTAATAATCTTAAGTAATTTTATAAATAATAAATTACAAATATATTCTTTCTCATTAAATATACCTTAAATAAATACATTTCTCACATATATGATTTCGAACTAATGATCAACGAATAATTTTATTTTCAAAAATAACTAAATTTGAAACGAAACTTTAAAAATATATACATCTAAAAATCTCACCTGTTTCTGTTTCATTTCTGCCAACGATGTCGTCGTCACAAAAGTTTCGTTATCCAAGATAAGTTCAAAAGATTTAGTTTCTCTAAATATATTTTTAAATGGTATATAAATCGGTGTGTTGGGAGTAGTTGTATATGGCCCTTGTGGTTTTGGTAGCGAATATGTACCGATGAGAGGAAATCTGTACATAATTTAAGTAAAATAATATTTATATTACATATATATATATTTGTATACATATTTAATTTATATTTTAACTGTATATTCAATAGCGAAACAATTAATAAGACAAGTTTAAATAATTTTAGCTGTAAATTATCATACATAAATTCCCCGGCGATCTCGGACGTGGCTATCAAAGTAGTGGAGACGTTATCGATATCGTAAGGTTCATAAACTACATCGAATGAGGCACTTTTCAACGCTGGCACTTCGATGTTCTTCGGAGTTGTGAAGCATTCGTTATTCACCTAGAATGAAAGGACAAAACTTTCATATTTTGATCATTATGATAAAAATATTTTTTATACTTACCCCGATTGTAAATGTTGCATCCTTTGTGGCATAATTGCTTACGGTCAAAGAGAAAGTGGCAGAAGCACCGAGCATCGCAACGATGCGCGTTATTTTTTCTGCAGGTGCCGGTATCGCTCGCAATCGCAATTCATAGGGAAACAGCCCGAGTTCTTCGCAATTAACGTCTAAGTTTATAATAGACTCCTCACTAGGATGTATGGGATGATATTCAATACCGATAATTTCCTGTTACATTTATGTCGATTGTTAGTCGTTACATGTTTCATCGATCAATTAACTTCTTTTATTTATAAATTATACATGTATTCTTTTTGATTAATACTATTTTAATGTAGCATTAAAAATTATTTCGATCAAAAATCTTTATAAAACTAACACTGGATAAAGGTGCCACAAGTTTTGGTATATCGTAAATTGTAATGCAGGGATGCTGACATTTTGCTGTATATGTTATATGTTGTTCCTTGAGTGGATTATCGAGTCTTAAAACGTGGCATACCGGAGATCGCACCGAAGTAATCAATTTAATCGATTCGATTTGTTCAGGTTTTGTAACATTGTATTGAAGCTCATAAAATTGATATTCACCCTCTTCATTAATGAACGTTATCTGAAAATATCATGTACATTTATAAAAACATAAAAATTTTTAAATTCTTATTTATATTGCAAATTTTCTTTTGTGTAATATAAATTATATATATATATATATATATTTTTTTTTTTTATTAATGATTTACCTTGAAATTACATTCCAATTTTTTATAAGAATAAAACTCTACGCGATAGTCTCGCTGACTATTTGATGGCACATCTATCTTGCTATTACCAACCAAAGTATACACTTCAACACTCTAAAGAAATAATGATTATGAAAAAATATTAAAATTTTTATAATTATTATAACATTCTAAATTGCTCCAAATAAGTTTCTAAACCTTGACAGAAGCTTTGTTCTCTAAATCTTCAATTTTACATTCAAATCGTTGCCGTTTACTCAACCAGTTGTAGACAGGTAATAATTCTGTATACTTTGTCTTTGCAGGAAACTGACGTATAATCCTTTGAAGAACTTGTGGAGCCAGACTTAACCCTTGAAGAGAATATATCAAAGGTGCTTTGTCATTTGGCAACTTCAAAAGCAATGTACCCTGAGATTAAACAAATAGTTTATTGATTTGTTGTTTACATACAGAATTATATAAGATGATCTTTTCCGCTCTACGTTTCAAATCATCAAAATTATTTTATAAGAGAAATTTATCAAATATTTACTTTGTGAGGATTATCCTCGCTGTTCATAATCAGAGGAGCGTAGGTAATTGCACAAGTAGCAAAATTTTTTGAAGGGACGTGTAAGATCTCATCAACAAAGAAATAATCACCGAAGACTTCTGGCTTTAGTTTCCATGGAGTCACACTGTCATTCTCGACATTTAGAAATTTTATTAGTTTCTCACGAACGCGACACGAAAAAAACAAAGTGTCAACTGGGTCGGGTAGTTTGCAGCAACCTCCGGTAATTTTTAAGCTGAGAACTCCATATTTCTCAATTTCAAGTGTTGCCTGAGAACAATGTGAAATTTTCTCTTTACTAAGGATTACAGAATGTATAAGACTCTTTATTATAAAAATATTAACATTTTTTACGAGATTCTGTCGAGGTTTTGACATTTTTCTATTATTGTATTGTATATATTTTGCGTATTTTATTAATATATGTAATAGATTGGAATATGTATACTTTCTAAAGTATTAAATTATTTAATGTAAAATATGTATTTTTGAAATAACAGAAAACTTTTCAAACTAATAATTATATTTACATTTATTAAATATTAAAGTAAGTTTGAATTAAGTAAGTAATTCATTAAAACAATAAAATTTCGAGAAATATATATATATATATATATATATATATATATATATACATATATACACACGAGAAATTCAAAAATTCTTGAGTTTTGAAAGAAAAAGTTACTTTGGAAAGTTAAACGTGATTTAGAAAAATAAAGAAAATTGTGTGTAATAAACTATTTTTATATTTGACATATATTATACGAAAATTACGAAATTTCTGCTAATTGAATATTTGTATGTACAAATACATCAGACTAGAAGTTATATATGCACTCACATCGCCCTCGATCAAACTGTCGTGTCGAGTAGGTCGGAAACTGACAATGAAGTTGACGTTCATGCCGGGAGAGCAATAGCCAATCGCAGGAACGATGCTAAATTCTCGTGGTAATTTTGATATGTTCCACTTGAATCTGAATTGATTCATAGATCATCATGTGGCATTAATAAGTTCAAATAATTTATATTCCTTATTATATCCTTTAAATTAATAATAAAAATATAAAAATTACTTATAATACGAATAAAAACCATATGAAAGAATACATGATAAAAAGAGATAAAAGAATATACATATATATAATAAAGAATATAATTAAAAGAATATAATTAAGAATATAATAAAGAATATAATTAATCATTTACTAAAAAACTACATAAAAATTTTAAAACATATATAAAGAGAAAGAAAGAAGGAATAACATTTAAAAAAACTAGTTTTCTAATTTTGAAAATGAACATGAAAAGTCCTCTATTATTATAATTTTTTTTAATTGTTTTTCTTTATCAGGTTACTTATCAATTGTTAATTATAATAACACCAACCTAGCACCAATATCTCCAATGTTTAATAATACTACTTTTGCTTCACTGAGGCAACCTTGAACAATTATACCGAAAGAAACGCAAGTTCTATTTAAACGGAATTCCGCTCCTATGCAATTTCCACGCAAGATAAATAATGGCTGAATCGTGGAATTGGTTTGGAAAGCCACTTTAGCGACGAAAGGACGCATTCTTCGCATAGATTTATATTTTACGATAACATTTACGGTCTTTCCCGATTGAAGTACGATCGATTCTGCCGGCTCGACCTCGAGAACTTCAGATAGATCAGGTTCGATTGTCTGAAGAGTCGTATCAAACGTGTCTGAACGTTTTGTTTCAGTGATTGATGCTCGAGTTTGATCCATTTTCAAATTTTCCTCATTAATCTTTCTTGGACATATTTTAATTCGTTCGCGAAATTGTTCATATCCCGGTAGATTCTTCATGAGATCGAATTTCAACTCGAGCGGAGCACGGCCGTCGTTAATCACCGGTACTTTTTTGATGATGGCTTTATTGATCGATAAATTACCAAGATCTACTAATTTATCGCGCGAATTTACTAAACGAATCTGTCATAATAGGATAATAGAATTAAATTAATTTGTAATATATATCTTAATTATAAACGTGATAACGTACTTTGTATCTAATTCCTTCACCAGTTATAATAATCTTCTTCTCGATCGTCGAATTGATTATAAAATGTAAATTGTCGCGGTAATGCAGCTGTTCCAGAGGACGAAATTTTATCGGAATAATGATACTTGATTGAGAATTTATTGTCTCTGAAAGAGCATTGAGATTTGCGGAGATGTGTGGTTTTTCTTCGAATTTGCACTCTAATCTGCGAGAATTTTACCTATTAATTTTAATTTTTTTTATAAGCAAAACAATTTGTAAAACAACTTACATGTATGGAATATCATCTAAATTTGTAATACGTAAGTCGATATGATATGCATCCGCAGTGATGTCTCGTATGTAACAAGGTCCAAAATTGTAATGATTAAAACTGAATTCCAAAATCGGTTTATTAGCAGTCGCTTTCAAAATTAGCCGATATACTGGTCCTCTAGAAATCTGAATATAAAAAATAAATTTGTAATATCTCCTCTTCTTTTATATAAATTACATCATATTGAATACTTATGAGAATGGTACCTTCAAGAGAATAGGATGATCTTTTATCATCGTTTTTTGTAATGCTGTAATGATGAGGCAACAATTGGATCGCGATTCACTAACCACGTGACCCTGCTTTTGTTGTATCACAATCATATACATATTTCTACTGATTATTTCCGGTGTCATGCCGAGATCCCAAGAATAATGAAATGCCATCTTGCTTGAATTCGTTATTTCAAATGTGATAGTAAAGGGTACTTTTAACATTATCTAAAAATTGAAAAAAGTATATTTATCCTTAAAATGATCTTTTTTAAACTTTAATTAAAATAATTCATAAACACACTTTTCCGCAATCAATGATATTTTCTTCATTTTGATTTAGTCGCACGACTTGACCATTTTGATCCACATATGTAACCGAGACGATAATATCATATGTCATTGTTGTAACAAATATAGTCAACGGCGTTTTCAATTTTTTCACAATGCATTTTATAAAAAAATCAAATTTGCCCACAAATGTAGGCTGGTATTCAATCCTATATTATAACAAAAAACATAATTTAAACATAAAACGTTCTTATTATAGAATATCGTTATTTTTCTTACTTACCAAAAAACTTGTTCGTCTTTTGGACTTAAAATGCCGTTCATAGGCATTATCTTCAAACTCTGAACACGTCCTTCAGAATATAAAGAATCTCGTGCGATCTGAAAGGAAAGCTGAACTTCCTCGTTGTTGATTATGCTTATCGATTCTCGTACATTAACGCCTAAAGAGAATATTAATATAAATATACAAAAATTATTTATATATATTTATAATTTTTTCTACTAATATCTTTTACCTAATACCGTTGGTTTCATTTCCAGGTGAACAAGCGACCAGCAAACCGACGGTTCTCTGACAGTCGCGACAAACAGAAAGAGACATTCTAAATTATATTTTTCAATGGAGAATAACCAGAAAGATTCAAAAGTGCCAATATCTTCTGCGAGGAATGTAAAAACGAAATCGACTTGCTTCCCTCGTTCAGCGATTCCTTTCAGAAATACGCAGTGGAAATTCGATATCTCGCTTTCAACGCGACGAGTTCGATCTTTCCAGACGAAGTGGTAATCATCCGATGTTGGATTTATCATACGAAATTTTCTGAGAGATTCGTGGTAATAAATGTATAATTTGTATATTTTGTATATATTTGTTTAAATTTTTTGAATTCTCACTTTACGTGAGTATCGCCGATCCCGATCACGTTTAACTCAATTACTCTCGTATCTTGCGGAAGAGATCCATCGGTTGATTGGTAATCGATTGGTCCTGGCAGTTTTGCATTACGTCTATTGCCGGATAGATAGTCACTTTCCGGTATGTCGAAGTGGCAATACGGTAACAAACTCCTTCCCGCAATAGGAATAATCAATTCTGATAGTTCTGGATCGAGATTCTCTATTCTGTCCACCGGATAAATAGAAGTGCGTATATGTAAATAGTGTCAAGAATTTATATATATAATAAATCCGATCGATAAATCAATTATAACATATTGTAATTCTATTATCAAATATATCAGAATATTTTATATAATATTTTATATATTCAATAATTTATATTTATTAATATTTTAATATATTTATATTTATTAATATTTTAATATATTATATAAATTAATTATTTATTTATAATATAAATAATTTATTCAATGAAAAGAATGATTGCTACAATTGATTTTTACATAATTTTGTTTGTAAAATATTATATTTTCAATAATAAAAATATTAAAAATCAAAATAAAATTAATCTAAAAATAGTTTCACTTATCCTCTTTCAATTTAGATTAATTAAATTATTTATATTATAAATAAGGACAAAAATTAATTTTATATAAAATATTTGATATATTATTATACAAAAAAATATATAAACAATATATAAATAATATATAAAAATTATATAAACACTAAAAACAAAAAATAATTAAATTAAATTAAATTATGCGACATATTAAATGAACGAGTAGTAGTTGTATGGATGTGTGATCATACTTGCACGTAAGATGAGCTTTATAATCAAATACATCCATGGGAGAGAATCGTAAAGTACATTCCATAGATTCACCCGGTAGTAAAGTTCCCTTTTCGGGGTGAATTTCAAATGGCAAGTCATCACTTTCTAACCAGCTGTCACTACTTCTCTCTGTCAATCCGGCACTACTGCTGAAGAGATCAGATGGACCGCAGTGACAAGGAGTTGGTTTTACCTCGGTAATACTCTCTGCAAATATGTATATTTTTATATCTTAATTAATTTCTACAAATATGTATATATGATAAATATGTATATTTTTTATATCTTAATTATTATACTTTCTCTATTTAAAATCAATAAAGTTAAAATTATTTAAAAAATCATTTTAAAACCTCGAGACGGTAGGGCTTGCTGACGATTCAATTTCATATTTCCCGCTATTTCTGTCATTGCGCAACTTGGATTATGTCGCTGACGTTCGTGAAACGTATATATTGACGAGTTAGCTATAGATCGAATATTTCCTCTTGATCTCGGCGTAGTTTGCGAATAATTTGCCAATCTCATCGGATACTGTTCATCCATATTTATTTGCCACTTGTATTCTACATCGACGATGCCAATATTCGAAAAAGTAAATACGTGCTCGTGCGTCTATCAATAGAAAATTATTACTGCACTTTCTTGTATATCAATTAATCGTATAAATTAAAAAATTAAGTTTGTAGACGCGAATAATTTTATTATTAATTATTAATAATTATATTAATATACTACCTCGTGCATATTAGCTGCCCATAATTATTTAACGAGTACTTTGTATAATATAAAATGCGTTCATTTATCGCTTGCAGCACCATCTATCTTTAATTCTTGATGAACAACATGAACGAGATAATTCCGCAAGCGTTGCAAATGTCAAGTGGAACGCGTCTCTAGAATAATTCCGCGGGTAACCGAAGCAAGCCGAGCAAAACCGAACATAGTCGAACGTCTCCAACTATGAGTCGAGTGTGTGCTCGAAGTGCTCCGCAATTTTTGACATTATTCATTCTTCAAAGTAAGTTTTGTGTGTAAATAAATATTCAAAATAACCTGTCGAACAATAATTATAGAGTGCGCGTGTCAAATAATTAGTTACTTTTCTGCATAAATTCGATCCGCGATCAGATCAGTTATTATAGCCGCTTGAGATTCGAAGTAAAGTTGGCTGCGCATGCGTGATGGCTATTCGTCGACCGCAGTTACATATACGCAGTTATTATATGCACAATAAGTATACCTCATTTATTGTTTTAATTATCATAACGTTATTCTATTCATGACATTTATCGGCATATGTACATCATAGATTATTGTTCGTTTCTTTATTCGTTAAGCTTTGCGTATCAAAATGAAGTCAATTGTTTTCGCTATTTCGACGCGGGCAATCGTCAAAGATAAGTCGCAAATGAGCATCGAATGAAATAGTGCAAAACGTAATAATTTGAATGTGGCATTGAATTTAGTGCTTGTGTAGCGTGAACGCCAGGAATGCTGTTGAACTTTCATTAAACTGTGTGACACGGCATTTATCTCACGACATGCGGTAAATGCATCTTGGAATGCCGTGAAAGTGTCGCTGCGCGTCGCGATTGTGTGAAGTTGCATTTTTTCCCGCAAAAATGCAGTACGCGTATGATAAAAAATCCGTTAAAATGGCGCCCAATAATCGTGTAGTGTTAATTGTTGTGTGAGAACATAAATAGTTGTACTTTTATTCAAGCATGTGAGAGTGCTATAATATTCGATGGATTTGGAACTACATGATCTCGAAACGACCTTTTCGATCGATTATAGAAGAGTTACGACATCCCGATTGGTGAGTTATAGAAATTTATTTATTTATTATTTATTCTAATGTATTAACTTATAGTAAATTAATAATTATATTAAATTAATTTACTATTTTATAAAAAAAAATTTTTTATGTATTTATGAAATAAAATCGTAAGAAGGAAGATTTAATTTATCTTAAATTACTTACAGAAATTTAAATAAAAATTGGAATCTATTTTAACATTGCACATAATATATCTACATCAAATTTTTTATAAAGAGAATTATATAAATAAATTATAATAAAATAATATAATTTTTACATGTTGCATTGATGAATGATTTTATTTAAAAGTTCAAATTGTGATAACATTTTTTTGTGTAAATAATAAATTATATATATATATATATATATATATATATATATACATACATATACATATATAAAATATTTGAACATTAAAATTATCTAAGTAAAATAAAATTTAATTTAATATTTTAAAAAATAATTTAATATATAATATTTAATTTATAATTATTAGTTTTTAATATAAATTATTTTCAAATAATTGAAAAAAATATTAATGATATTAATTGTCATAATTACGTAAAAAATTATTTTGATATAATTATAATAGTTTGATATTGTTGCATTATTAATAACGTTTCTTTTTTTATGATTAATTTATAAAAATATATGATATATTACATGATATATATATATATAATATATATATATATATTATATATATATAATATAATTTATATTATTCTACGTTATTTTTCTATATTATTCTATATTATATTCTATATTATTCTATATTATTCGTAATTGATCTTTTTATATATACATATTTTTCTAAATATATTTTATCGAGACAGACGCATGCTACATATATAACTTATATACATATATACAATTTATATATGATTCAAAGAGAAAATATCAAATGTTGAAAGAAAACCGAATTTTACTCATCCATATGGAAGATTCATATTTCAATCGGAAAGTAGTAGAATAACTCACTGCTAGTGAGTGGAAATATATTTCTTTTTTTTACGCGTAAACAACACCCGAAATTGAATTTGATATAAAACCAACAGCGAGCTGGTTTGTATTTTATCTCTAGAATTTCGTGACATTTATGCTGTCTGTTGCTGGACATGGCAATTCAGAAAATCTCCGTGTTATTAAGATTAAATATTTAAACTTGATATGAATGATATGATTGATTGCAAAATTATTTATAATTTTTGATATGATTGATTGCAAAATTATTTATAATTTTCATTTTATATTTCAATTAAATATTACTTCGATTATACTATTATATTTTTTACAAACTTTTACAAATATTGAAGAAAAATATTGAAGAAAAATCTAAAAATCTAAAATTTTGATGTCTATAAAAATAAAATTTGTTTATATATGTAAAATAAAATTTTTTTATATATGTAAAGCAATAAATTTTTAACAAATATTAAATCTAAAAATCTAAAATTTTGATGTTTATAAAAATAAAATTTGTTATGTAAAGCAATAAATTTTTAACAAATATTAAAAAAATATATAATAAATCTTTAATAAAAATTTACAAATTAATAAATATTTTTTGTGTTACTTTTAGAAATATTTAAAAAAATTTTTTTAAGTATAATCTTTTTAAAAATATATAAATTATATATATTCAGAATAGCTAAATCGATATAGCTAAAAATCTAATTATACTGAAATGTTTATAGTTTAATTTGAGTGCAAAATAAGTGATATAAGTCATGATTGTAATTTACCTGAAACATTAACGAGTCCTTAAAATTGATCTCCTTAATAGGACAGAAGTACTTGGAGAATGCCACGATCGTGTTTAGTAATACTTGGATGCATTTCGTCGTGCCAAGTACAATTTCGTGGCTTGGCTCATTAACGGGCTCGACTGCTTTTCTAGATAATGTTTCTGTGTTTATTTCTTGTTCATCATCATCATGATTTATTGTCTCCCATCGTACTTCTGTCTCTCGATCATCCCAAGATTTTTTCGAAGAATCAGCGAGTTCAATCGCGCAGATCGTACAATCGATACGCGTCTGTAAATTATCATTGAGTATAATTAGTTTATATATATATATTCGATGTACAATATTAAATAAGAGAAAAATTACAACTGCTACTATATTTAATATAAATATGTCAAATCTAATTTTATAATGAAAGTTTAACAATATTTTATTTTTATTCAAAATCTAGTTTTTTTTTTAAAGAAAAAGGAGTATAATAAACTACAAATAATGAATATTATTATCATATAAATTCAAATTAAAAGTACTGATTAATAGCAGTTGACAGAATATAAACTTGTTAATTTTAATACATCGATATAATGCACTGGCTCCGAAGAAAAAAATGTTGCAATAATTTCCTTGCAAGTCATAGGTTGAAGATGACCAATGGATGGAGTAAAGACAATATTGGAGTGTGCATTCCATTGAAATCGTGAGTATTGATTTATTGATCTATTGACAATTTTAAAGTTCTTCCTGTATATCTTATTGACAAAGCAATATCCATAATCCAATTTATACGTCAATGAAATCGGCATTGTTGGTGTCAAAGCTGTAAGATATAAATTATAGATAAAAATATGTGATGAAAAAAAAATAGCACTTGGAAAAGAATTTAAAAATGAGATTAATAAAAAGTACCGTAAGTTTTAATAAATATTTGATAAAATTACGATGTAATAAATAAAAATCTTATGTAAAATTAAACGTATAGGAATAACTGAAAATAATAAACTGATAAATTATTAATAAATATTATAATTAATATAAATATTTTTAATTATAAATATTTTTGATAAAAATTTATTAAAAAATTAAATTATACGTGGTATAAAATAAAATTATAATATTTTTTATAATTGTTCTCTTATATACATATATTGTTTTTGCAAAACTTTACCTTCTACTGTACTGTTTGGCTTTGACGATCTTCGCGACTTGATGTTAGATTCCTGCCTTTCATTAAAATCACATTTTATATTTGTAAGCTCTAGTCCTTCTAATACAATTGATTCTACATATGCTTCGCCCTTTAAATCAATTATTAGATTTTCGTAGGGATTATCGGTGATGAATAGTCGCACTTGACCTTCATACTTGCCAATTTCTCGCGGCATAAACTTTACTTTGAATGAAATCTTTTCTCCGGGTATTAAATGAACTATAACGCATCGATCATTTAATACTGCAATTTAATAATTTGAACACGTTACGTAAAAGTTATTTATTACTTCAGTTTTGGATTATTAAAATATATTTATGTCATATTGTGTATATATTTTTTTATTTTTTTTAGAAACTGGATTTTTAAAAAAATTTTATGAAAAATTTAATAAATTAAAAATATTAAAATAATTATTTCACATTTTTAAAAAGTTACTTTTTATTGAAAGACTTTTAGAGAAAGATTTTAAAAAGAATTGAACAACTTTTTTAATAATTTTGATTATAAAATAATATAAAATATATAAGATATAAAAAATATAGAAATATAATTTGTTTAATTTGATGTTTGTGATTTTTTTTAAGCTTAATTTCTCATAAAATTTGCAAAGAATTTCTCTCTTAAAATACTAACTATTGGTTCCACAGTCCCAACTTGACACATTTTTTGTACTGTCACAAGAACTGAGAGTAAAAAGAAAATTTGAATTCTCATAAATCTCGACAATCACTTTAGCTGGAATCACACCGACATTTTCAAAAGTAAATTTTTTTTCATTAGAATCATTTACAAGCGTACGGCCAAGGTTTAGAACAATTCGTTCTCGTTTTCCATTCGGTGGTTCTACGATTATCACTTGTGGTACACAAGCTTGTCCTATTAATTTTACAAAAAACTTTTCATCCCTTAAGTGCGGTGGAAGTTCGACTGCGATCTCAAAGACTGCATAACATGTCTGTGATTATAAATATAACGCTAAATATAAAAGAACTAAAATAAAAAGATGATGATTATTTAATATTATATTTAATATTTTTAATATTGAATATTATCATAGAAATCTCTTATTAAAAATATGTGAAAAATATTCTGAAGTTCATATATACATTTCATAAATACATATAATAATTTAAAAATTTATATATACATAATTTAAATAATTTAAATAATTTAAAAAAATTTATATATGTATCGAAAGCATTTAATTTTATATTATTTTTAATATTTAATATTTTTAATATTTATAGCTTATTATTTTTATATTTATTTTCAGTATTTAAATTTATTTATTTAACTCTTTATAATATGATTTCTATTAATTATTATTCATAATTAGTGTATTTATATTATAAACTTAATATATTTATACTAACATTTATATTTTAAAATATTAATTTTCTATTTTAAAACTTATGATGTGTTATTCTTGATATTTAAATTTATATTTTATCATAGATATTACCTCCATAAACGTCGGATTAAATGAAATTGCAAATCTTTTATGACTCATCGGCGGAATACGTTCTCTTTCAGGTGTCAATACAAAAATGTCGGGTTTTACAGTTTTTGGTATAAATGATTCTGCGAGTAAGATTAATTCTACATCGGCAGGTATCACGTTTCGATTATAGAGTACAAAATATGTCGTATGAGTACGTGACACACTGACGTGACGAAAATAGAGACATTTCTCTTGACGAACGAATACGGTATATGCTCCGATCTATAACATACAATAAAAATAATCTCTTTATTTTAATTTTGGATATGAGATAAACTATTGAAAAAATTAGATACCTCTTTTGGGCATATGAAATCTTCAATGCAGTCAACAATGTAATTTTCGTGGAACATAGCATCAAGATCTTGCAAATCGATGCTTGGTATGCAAGAATTAACGGATAGTTTTATTAATTTGCCATTTCTGTTTTCGGGCGTACTATCAGGCACGAGAATCATTATTTTTTCTTCTTGTGAACCTACACATTCTGGATAGCATTCGATTGTTATAGTATCGATTTCTCCTGGCTGAATGCTCCCTTCGGTTTTCGTTATAGTAAAAGGACCAATTTTTAACATAGTCTTAGGTTCCGGCGTTTTCCTGTAAAAATAATTAAATATTGGCATATCGAAACGAGTGTTTTCATTATTTTTATTCTTTTAAAACATTATTTTTATTCTTAAAATTTTTAATTAAATGTAATTAAATAACATAAATATAAAATTATTTTATTTGCAATAAATAATTAATTCGTATGTTTTTTAATAAATATATAAAATTATCAACTTAAAAAAGGAGTTTAAAATTAAGAGTTTAAATTAGGATTTTTAAAAATTTACTTATCAATTTGTAATTTATCTTTTTTCGTTGACATATCTGTCGTATTATCATTATCATTTTTTATCATCTCTTCCAATTTAGTTTCTGTCATGTAGACAATAGATGGATGCTTGATAGGTGCTACTTCAATAGAATAATAAAGTAAAAATTCTCCAGTATTTTCCACGTTAAGATATATCGTTTTTTTAGTACATATACTAAGAGAAGCAAAATTTATCTCCGGGTAAGGATAAACACGAAATCTATATTTAGAAAAGTATAATCAGCACAATTGCCTTTAAATGTTTAAAAATTAATTAGATTTAGACAAAATGTTTCACCTAGTATAATATGCAATTAAGGAGATTGTCAGAGGAAATTCTGCAATCACAGCAGTTTCTTTATTCATATCGAAAAGACGACATCGAAATATCGGACATTCTTTTAGAGTAATTTCATTCTTTGGTAGAAATGTTATCTGCGATTGAATATAGTTGTATTTCAGTTTAATTTTAAAACTTGTATCTCTCTTTTATTTTATTGTTTTTTATTGTTTATTGTATTTTATTGTTTTTTAGCTAAATTGATAAAGTTACGCTAAATTCGTTCATAATTATTTAATATGATTTTATTTTTTAAATATACAACTATATAAAAATTAATAACAAGTATATCAATATAACAACTTCATTTTAATTCTTCCTTATATATAAATATAGAAAAATATTGTATTTGGAAAAATATACCTGTACTGTAATTTCTTTTTTTGGTTGAATGGAACCGGTAATAGGATTAATTTCAATATCTTCTTTCAATTTTAAAGGCAAATCTGATGCGATTTTAGCCAATTTATTTTGCTCTTCCAAAAGAATACTGATCATAATTATTAATTTAATTAAGAGCACGTATATTAATATTATGAATTTAATATTAAAAAAGAATTATAATATTTTCTTTTTCACGCAAATATTGATAACGTAATTAACAAATTTTAAGTATTTTGATATGAATATATAAGTTTGTTGTAAATATATTTTTCTACTTACATATATTTAACTTCGTAATGTCCTCGATTAGTTATTGTAAAGTTTGCATTCGTAGGGAAGCCAACCTTTACGCACTTTAAATCAATTGGATTTGCATGATTAATATCGATAGCAACATCGTATGTTTCGCCAGATAAAGTGAGAGTTTCCACAAAAATAGATTCCACATCATTTTCGTGAAAAAAGGCATTAAAAGTTAAGCTATTTTCGATCGCTCCAATCTAAAGCAAAATACATATTTTGAAAAGAAAATTTGATATGTCTTTAACTTAAAAATATTCGAAAAACAGAAAAAGAAAATCACTTTTCTAAGATTTATTTTTGCATATTCAAATAATTTTTATAAAATTTATATATATTTGAATGAATAAATTTTAAATATTAAAATTATTTAACAACTAATTTTTGTAATAATGGATAATAATACTAATATATGATTAACAATAATATAATTTAATAAAAGTTTAATTAAATTGTTTACTTTGCTTGCGTGATAACAAAATTCGATCTTTTGATCACTTTGAGGTTTAACAATTCCTTTGATCGGTGTAAATGATATTTGAGGATCTAAGAATTCATTAGGATCCAAATACCAGAAAATTTCAACCGGAGATCTATTACGGATAAAACAAGCAAGAAAATTTTTTCTATATAAGAGTACTTGATTAAAGAACAATTGTTTGCCGTCAAGTTCAATGTCCAATTTTGAGCCATTACATCGAAGCTGGAAGATTATATATTTTTTAATAATATGGGATATTTTAAATAATAAAATAATACTTTTTTTAAATATAATTTTCATATTTTTTTATATAAAAATAATTTTTAGAATAATAGTTTTTCTGATATGTTTAAATTGTGAAAAACATATATATTTTTTATAATTACTTCAATTGTATCAATATGCGGATTATTCTCAATACATATGTGCAACTTATCAGTAAATGAATCTAGTTTTGTAACACCTGCAGATATTTTTAGCAACCTACATTGTCCAGCCTACAAATTAAATAACAAAAAATATCTCGATATGTTGTTATATATGTTACATCTTGTTATATATCTTGTTTTTAAATTATAAAATATCTTATATATTTAATTATAAAAGAGATCAAACATATAAAATAAAATATAATACACCTGAATATAAAGTTTCTCTGATTCCATAATAAAAATATCTGGATTATTTTCTTCCAAAAAGAAGGACACTATCGCATCGACTTTAGATATATTGCAGAACTTTAATTCCGCTTCACGACGATGAACACTGTTTATAAATTATGTTATTTATAATTTATTTATTTTGTTGATAATTTAATATCATTAAATATATTAACATTATTAAATCGAACCTTTTATCTTTTCGAAACACCAACAAGGATCCAAAGTCATAAGTATCAGAATCAAGAAAATATGTAGGGTTTATTATATTGTTTATTTTTGTTTCTTGAACCTAAAAAAACATCTTTTATTACTTTTATAAAATTTTTTAAAAAATATCTATTACCTCGCTATATTTCAATAAAGATTTACATAATTTATTTTACGTATTTATTATTTAATAATAAGCTTAATAGTAAGCTTAATTAATAATAATTGTATTTTTATACATCTATCTAAGAAAACATTATTATACCTTTGAAAAAATAGTATTAGGATTCATATCCAATCGCGGAATATCTGCGATGCCATAGATATTGATATCATAGGTGATATTATTGCCATCGACGATAGATAATGCGTATGTTTGTTGATGAGTTCCTATTTCTTCGGGTTGATATCGTATTTTAAATCTCTGAGTTTCATTGGGTTGCAAAATCCATCGTGATTTTAGCATCACTTCAAAAATTGCATTTATACTAAATGCATCTTTATTCTCTATTATCGATGTATTTAATGATGTCGATGATGGTTCTTCAGTTTTGTCAACATGTTTTTTGCGTTTTGAATTCTCTGCATTATTTTCTTGTTTATTAATTAAGTTAACATGTGAAGAATTGCTCATTATAGAATCAGACATTGTGGATAATGAGACAATTTGATAAGCTTCTAATTAATAACATAAAATTATGATTAATATTTTTTTTTAAATAAACATATTATATACGGACATTTATTATAAGTTGCATTAATAACAATATACTTGCCATTACTTTTAATATCCCGTTTTTTTATGTTTCGTGGCTTAAGAATATAGTATTTTTTCGGCTCAAGCTCCAGTTTTGAGGCAATTTCAAGAGCTAACATAAAATATTATTATTTAATAATTTAGATGTGATACAACATTGTTTTAAAAAATAATCACTTACGAAGAGCTTCCTTAGCCAAGCTATTTTCACTCATTTGATTAACTACTACATCATACATCACTCGATCCCATGGATCTGTGGCTTTTACATACCAGATATGAATATACTCATTCATATGTTTATTCGTATAAGTCTGTAAAAATAATTAAAATGTATAAATATTATACAGAATATCCCACTATACCACCTGCTAATAGCAGGTTTCTGAGATCATATTTGGAGACAATTTTTTTTCAGTAAAAATATCAAGAATATCATTATTTTTTGCAATTTTTGCCATCATTTATCTTTGTAATCAAGTTTTAAATTAAATTTCTATTAAAGTACTCTATTAAAATTAACTAAAGAATATAAATTTAGTAATCTTTTATCCCTCTCTCTCTTTCTCTTTTTCTCCCCATAAAATAATATTAATTTAGTAAAGTAATATTAATGTAGTTTGCAAAAGTCCTTTTTTTTTAAATTGCTTGCAAATTATTGATGTCTCAATATTTTCACTAATATGATAGAAATCATCTCTAAAATAATTTCAATAATCTGCCATTAGCGGATGGTATAATGATTCTGGGACATCTTATATATATGTATATATATATATATGTTGCGTAATATCTTATTCTACTCTAAATATGGGAACATTTTGGAATTATTCCGTATGGATAATATAAAACAGAAAATGTTATTATATAAAGTATAAATTGCAATATTTTGTAGTAAAATTTTTATAAAAAATTATTAGTTGTATTAAATTAAAACTAAAAATATATATTTTACCTCTTTATTAATATCAGAATTCTTATCTTTTGACTTATCAGTTTTCAAAATTTTGTTCTTCGCCGTAAACAGAGCATCCTTCAAATAGATAGAGAAATAATTTTATATAATAATTTTTAAATATTAAGATTATTTTAAGACATATATATATATATATATAATTAAAGTTTTATAGAATATTTGCGGATATTTGCTTTTTTGAAAGGATTCCAATTTTTGATGATGTTTTCTATGCTCGAAAGACTGCTATAATAATCATTCATGGCATTAGTAATATTTTCCAATTCTTTCGATATTTCTTCTTTCGATCCTAAATGTCATAATGCAAATTAAGTTAAGTTTTATAATTTTTTTTTGTTCAAAAACTAAATTTACTGTTCTTGTATAACTTTATTATTTTATTATTTTACTTGGTTTAGAATTATCTCTACGTTGTGGATCCTTAAGATCCCGAATTTCTTTTTCATTGACAAGCACTTTAAAAGTTTGAGATCTTTCCTCTAGATTGTTAGTTTTTCCATCTTTTATTCTCTTATTTATTTTTTTATTTTTGACAATGCTCATGTTAGATGTTTGCTGAGATAATATTTGCAAAATATACATTGTCGATGAGAAATTTGAGCATTACATGAATATAATTAAATTAATATTAATATTAATATTAAATATAGAATTACGACATTATTATTGATGATAAAAAATAAAATATAGAAATCTTTATTAGTTATATATTATACATTCTACACTCTAATTTTCAAAGGAAATAGAGAAATCCGGCAATTTAGATTTTTCTAAAGTTAAATCGCGAGTTCTAAAGTTAAGTCGATACTTTTCTTTTTCTCAGTTCTGTTATCCGTTGTATAAATTGCATTCGCCTTTGTAATGCTTCTTGTTTTTTTCTTGGTAAAATTGATTCCAAATAGAATTTTTTCTCATCTTCCGCAAGTAGTTCATACTCAGATAATGACATTTCATCAATTTCTTGAATTTTCTTAGCAATTTCCTCCACTAATTTTTGTGCTATTTAGATAATCAATATAAGAATTTAATAATTTTTATAACTTAATCTAATATATTGTAATCTACCTTTTAATTCCTGCAATTCTTCTATTTTCTGAATATAATTATCCATCGAATTCAGAAAAGTTACAAACAATAAATATTCTACGTATCCAACTATATTCAGTAATGCGATTAGCGTGATAACATCACTTCCAAAGAAGATATTGTTTAAAGTTTGCAGAATAAAACCGCTCTTGAAATCTGATGACGATAATCTATTTATAACAATAGCAAAAGATACACAAGATTAAAAAAGAATTTGAAATATACAAGAAATTATATATAATATATATATAATATTTAAAGAGGAAGAATTAATTAATAAAAAATACAATTAATAAGAAATATTATATAATTAATTAAATGTATATGAATACGCATACATACATACACAAATATATTTTAAATTTATTTTGATGTATGCTGTATTTACTTAAATATAATATATATTGAGATTTTATATTATTTATAATATTTGTATGTCACATGTTACCTTTCTTGAAGAATTTCGATAAACATGTCAATTTCAATACCGAGGAAAGTATTATTCTGATTTTTCTCACTGATTTTCGATCCAATTGTCGCCGTGTAATATACAGGAATTTTATGCAATAATAAAATAGTTTGGATCTTACATTCGTAAAGACTCACAGGATCTAAAAATTGTAAATCCTCTTCTCTTGGGATCTTCGCAAATTCCGATTCAAATGAAATAATTAATTCCTGAGCATCATTCTCAGTATGTTTATCGATTTCTGTCATCGTTTCTGATTCAAATTTTGTTGCTTTTAATAATTTTGTTTCTTTAGGTGATTCTTCATTCGCGATTATTTTTTGTTCATGTTCCATTTCGATGTCGATTTTCTTTTTTGTTGACAATCTAGTTCCAAAATATCTCTGATGTGAAATACTTAAAAATTTTTTCTCATTTATATTTTTATTAAGAAAATGAAAATCTTCTTTTAAACAAATACTGATTAATTTTAATTCTATGTCAAAGTCTATTTAATTTTTTAAATAATTTTTTGTAATTACTTATGTTTTTTGAACGCTAATAAATGTTCCTGATAAGCTTCGTCGATAATCTGTCGTAGTTTAATGGAAGACCAATTATTACCGAGTGCGATCCCTTCGATGATAACTTTGTCTATATTTAATAATGGCACTTGCAATACTGTAGCACTTCTGCACGCAGTTTCTTGATATTCTAAATTTTGTAATTATAATATTTGTAATTATAATATTTGTAATTATAATATTTTGTAATTATAATAGGAACAATTTGATAAATGTTATTTGCGTATATCTTCATGTGCAAAATTACCAGTGAATGGTGCACCGTGAAAAATAATGCAGATTTTTTTGACTGGTTGTGAAGGATCCATTATCTCAAGTTGTGAAATTGTCTTTGTTTCAAGAGTATCGAATAAATTTTTTACAGGATCCTTTATTCTTTTATAGAAATTAGGATCTTTACGTAAAGTTTCTATATAACCTTAAAAGAAGCAAAAGCTATAATAATTATTTTATCAAATCAAATTAAATAAAAACTATATCGTAATAATTTATATTTCTTTATGATAAAATAACTCACAGAGGAGTAGATTCTGAAGCTCTTCAGGATCACTTGTTGGCAATCTAGGCGATTCACGAGGAAAGTCCAGTTCGCTGAAAACTAACATTGGTGGACAATCTTTTTTTATATTATCTAGTAGATGACTAACTAGTAGATTTTTCTGTTACAATTTATCGATATTGGGCCCCTTTTGCAGATTTATCTTCGACTTTTGAGTTGGTGAATGCTGAACAGATGAGCTTGATGTATTAGATGACTTCTTTGTTTCTTGTATTCTAGTCTTGTATTCTGATAAATCGTTGTTATCTATTCAAATATTATTATACATTGCGTCATGATTTAAAATCTATATGAAATTTTTTTTCAAGTAAACATTGCTTTTTTAAAATAAAAATAAAATAATTAATCTCTTTTTCATTTTGTAGTTACAGTTTTGTAGTTACAAGATGATGATCTTCAAAAAAGAAGATATTTTTCAAAGACTCTTAATATATACCATTCGACGCGATGATATTTTTTTCTTCGATTCTTTCCGCTGACAAAGCGTACGCCATCTCACTCATGAGACTATTATAGAATTCCATTAAAAGCGACGGCATTCTCTCCCCGGGTTTTCGAGACGGTAATAGAATTTCTTTAATTCCATAGTAGCAAGTCAGTGCTTCGGCAAGTCGTTCCTCTTCTAGAAAAAGACTGCACAATGCGTCGATTTATTCTATAAAATACCTTCCACGCCATTTCATCTATCACTTTTGTTTTCATATTAACCACAAAATAACAAAAATAGATATTTCTATTTATGACAATTTCCATAAATACATAGAATCTCTTTTCTATTATTTTTCTTTACTTTGCTTTTGTTTATAATCTGTTAATGTTTAATTTATGTTTGTGCTCAACATCGATTACCTATCGAGATGATGCCAAAAAAATTCCACGGGATAATTGCAAATATTTTCGATCGTAAATATTTTCTCTTGTACTTCAGTAAAAAGTACGGTGGGAGGAAAGTTAATATTAAGATCACTGATTCGCAGTTTATGCTCGATTCCGCGGCCAAGTAATGTTACTGTTTGCGTTTCCAATCCCATTTTGACAATGATTTTTAGACTAGCTTCGACACGACACTGATGAAATAATAATAAAAGATTTGCTTGTTTATATTATGTTTATAATATACATATATATATATGTATATATATATACATATATATATATGTATATATATATATATATATATATATATATATTTGTATTATAATACCGTTTTATGTGGTTTAAAATAAATATTGATGATTTCTGAATGACCAGATAAAAGAAAATCAGATTTGTAGTTAAGTTGAAATGGGCAATCTTTTTGTTTTTTACGAGTGAATATTTTTGCTTCCCAGCAACAATCAACGAAACCTCTAAAAGTTAAAATATGTAACTATCTTCAGATAAAGCTTTAAATATGTTTAAAAACGATATGTTACTCATTTGTCACTAAAACGTTCATCATCAAACATTCTCCCACAATAACATTTTGAAAATCTAATAATTTCGTGTTAACAGTTACGAATGGATAAGTAATGATGCCTTTTATAATTACGGGAATTGTAGAACCACGAGATACCTAACAACAATAAATTTTTAAATTAGTATAATATTTAATTAATTAAATATAGTACTATAAATATTTATTTAATATTTTATATTTCATATTATTTTATTATTATTAAATTATTGTTAAAACACGCTGTGAAAGTAGAAAAAGTATTATAACTTAGTTGCGTTCAAATTTTATTTAAATAGCGAAATAAAATTAATTTTACTTCTAAATAAATTGAATGCTGTTCCTTTGTGCTTCTTTCAGTATATTTTACCGATGTTGGTTGCCATGTAATAGTCAAAGACGTAGTTTTTCCAACTATTAACATAGCTTTTTCAAATTCTACGAAAATGCCGGAATGCTCAAGTTGCTTTTTTGCTAATTTTTTTACTACAACTTCCACATTCCAAGGCCCATAATTGATAATTATTATCGAGTAACACGTTTTAAGATCGATTATAACATAACCCATGTCTGAAAATATTTGTTATATCATTAATTATTCCGAGTATTGCTAATTTTATCTTGTAATTATTTATAGATCAAATAGTAATTAATTTGGACGTAATTAACTATAATGCATTAATTTAGGAAAATTAATTCATGAGATTGATATTTTTCGTAAATATACCTATAATATATTCAGGCGTATAAAGAAAAGGAATAACAGCCTTCTTTGAGCTGGAATATTTTATCAAAGTAGAAATATTCTCTTCGATAAATCGAATTGCCAGAAATCTATCAATTGCCATCTCAATGTCGATAATACTAGGAAATATTTCATCATATGAAATCAAATCCCACCTGTCAGCTTTAAAATAATTAGTAATGATTAAAATATTTTTATTAATTAAACCGATTTTATATTTAATTATATATTTTATTATATATTTTATTATTTTATCATAATCAAGGATGTAGTAATGCCAGATTTACTTAATAAGATTCGTTCATCCCATTCAGGCACTTGATTTTTTGATTCATTATTCATATCACTACATTGCGTTTTTATTTCTTGTTTTTTCTGCAACGCAAAATATTAAAATAATTTATTTTTTTTATACTAAACCAAAATTTACCATTGCAATGTAATCTGGAGTTAGTAATTGAATTGCCCAATATCCAAATTTTACAGAATGTTGCTTAAAAACTTCACGTAAGGTGCAAAGATAAATTTGGGAATAACATGTGACACCTTTCGCGATAATTATCAGTGGATCCAAATGAGCCACCTAAATAATAATAATAACACAATGATAAAAATTGAAATTTATAAAGTTTCATTAGAATATTTTGTTTACAAAGTTTCATTAGAATATTTTGTATAATATACACACATGCAATTCAAATTCTATTTCGAAAATGCCAAGCAATATTGGTCGAAATTCTATCTCAATTTTTATTGATGATAGAGGATCTATAGATCCTTTACTCGGTTTGACTGTTAATGCATCGATTGTACAGTCGACCTTTCCTGTGATGGATATTAAATTCCTCTTATTTATCTTATAGTCCAGGAATATTATGCTATGATTTTCCAAAGTGAAACTCGACCGACACAGTTCACCGAATAACTATAATATGAATCAATGGACTGAATATTTTACATTACAAATTCAATATTAAATTGTAATTACGAATAATATATTGAATTAAATATATAAAATTTTAATATAAAACTTGGTAACTTTAATTAAACATAAATTAAGCTTATATATATATATATATATATATATATATATATATACATACATATAATCATATGTTATTTCTCGTAATTAGTAAAGTTTTAATTTAACTATAATTGTGAACTAAAAAAATGAAAAATACTGTATCATGAAAATATCAAGAAATGTCGAAAAAAATATAAATTATTTGTTAACTAAAATATATATTAAAGATTAATTAAATTATTGAAAACGTTATGCAATAATCTCAAAATTATAAAATATATAATTAAAACTAATAATTATTAGAATATAACATATTATTAATATAAAAAAAGTTACAAACAACGATATTAAAATTAAAAACGACTCACCTGTTGACCGAAGTCGATGATCTGTCTATCAACAGAATATTCAATGATGTCGGCACTGGCGAATACATTAACTATCTCGGTAGGTCCTCGAAGAATTTCACAAAGCGCAACGACTTTGATTTGTATAGGCTGATGACCGTAAAAGATAAAGCGCACATATTGCGAAGAGTATGGTACAATAGTGCCTTCGTGTGGAACAATATTAAGTATCTGCATAATAAATTATCGTAATAAAAATTAATTTTTTAAAATATATTTAATGATTTATTAAGAGTATATAATACATTCGTAAAATGAAAATTTGAATTGGAAAATAAATTTTACTGAAAAGAAAGGAACAAACATCGTCGAGTAACTCGTTCGAGGGAAATTTGATACTGGGATCTATCAAAGCAAGAATCTTTGGATCATCTAAGCATAGTGAACAAGACATCGAAAAAATACTTCGTAATTTTTCGAGCTTTTCGTCTAACGTTTCAGAATGAACTTCCATTAACAAATTGTCCGATTCCAATTCTTGCAGCTCTGATATGAAAATATTTACAGATAATATAGTATATTTTTACATGCAAATATAAAAGTTCGTAAGAGTTTTTATAAATCGTGTCAATAATGAAGTTTTAATAAAAATTTATGCAACGATCACGTTAAACATGAATTATTTTAAATATTAAAATAACGTTAAAAAAATAGAGAACATATTAAATAACATCTACATGAAATTATATTAATTACGAACAATGAAATACGCGCGATGTTATGCACGACACTCGTGAGATTAATCACATAATACACAATTCATTTATATTATGACGAGAGAACGCACGAAAAACTATGGAAATACGAAGTTAAAATTGTTATCACAGTAAGTTATTTGGTCATTAATCGCGATAATTTATTACGCATGTTGTGATAATTGCTTGTAATAACTATAGAAACTGATCACATTTTATAATTCTCAATACTTGTCATGATTTTATTTTGAGAAATAATATGATAAAAATAATTCGCGTTACCGGTTCGTACTGAATTTCACTGTACGAATGGAAAAAAAAAATAAACGTTGTTAGTACTTTCATCCCTTATATGGCATATTGTTTTGTTGATATGTGTGTAAAACTCGACAAGTATAACGGCGCTTCATATCGTCTTATAATGCTTTATAAGTATAATTTTGTTTTATAATTAGTATAATTAACTATCAGTTAATTAACTCTTATAATAAACGACATGTAAAAACATACAACAGCGGCTATTCGATTCAAATAACAAAAGTATACAAACTGTTTATCAATATATAAAAATATATGAAATTTATGCATTGGAATTGGTACTATATCTTCAGTAGTACATTCTGATTATTTTTTGTTAGTACATTGCGTCTAATTTAATCATTAATTTGATTACAGTATTGTGCGGTAGATATCATATAATAAAAATTAGTTTTACGAAAAATGGAACGAGAAATCTAAAAAAAGTTTATCGACAAATATATCTTTCCTAACACTCGAACACTGACAAAATGATGATAAACTTTTTGTGTCTCAGCGCGTCGATTTTTCCCCCTCTCTTTGTCTCTCCCACTTTCACTACGCCGCATTCCATTACGCGTGACGTAGCTCCAAAAATCTAAACAAGGCCACGTCGCTATTTCTTACAATCGGAATACAATCGCTAGTACAACATATACAATAGGAATATAGCAAGCATGATAGATTTTAATTTCGTATAAATTCTGCTATACGCGTATTTTATTAATAAATAGTTTATATATATATATATATATATATATATATATATATACACACACGTAGCTCCAAAAATGTAAACAAGGCCAAGTCGCTGTTTCTTACAATCGGAATATCGTATAATCGTCAGTACAACATATACAATAGGAATACAGCAAGCATGATAGATTTTAATTTCGTATAAATTCTGCTGTACGCGTATTTTATTAATAAATATATTATATATATATATATATATATATATATATATATATATATATTCTGCTGTACGCGTATTTTATTAATAAATATATTATATATATATATATATATATATATATATTTATTAATATATTTATTAATAAAATACGCGTACAGCAGAATATATATATATATATATATATATATATATATATATTTATTAATAAAATACGCGTACAGCAGAATTTATACGAAATTAAAATCTATCATGCTTGCTATATTCCTATTGTATATGTTGTACTGACGATTGTATTCCGATTCTAAGAAACAGCGACGCGTGGCCTTGTTTACATTTTTGGAGCTACGTCACGCGTAATGGAATGCGGCGAAGTGAAAGTGGGAGAGGCAAGAGAGGGGGAAAAGCCGACGCGCAGAGACACAAAAAGTTTATTATCATTTTGTCAATGTTCGAGTGTTAAGAAAGATATATTTATCGATAAACTTCTCTAGATTTCTCGTTCCATTTTTCGTAAAACTAATTTTTATTATATTTTTATTATACTTTTATGATATGTACCGCACAATACTGTGATCAAATTAATGATTAATTTAGACGCAATGTACTAACAAAAAATATACAATTATACATGTATATATTACATATATATATTGTTTTATCTTATTATTTGACTCGAATAATGTGTCTCACTCTTGTATACTCTTACATATCATTTATCACAAAAATTAATTCTTCTTCAGTGCAAATTAATAATTGCAATAACTATTAGAAACATTTGAATATATTTAATTACTAAATAGTAAAGTTTAATTACTAATAGTCGCGCGCGAATTAATAATTCTATATTTTAATATTTTTATACTTTGTTACATTAAATATATATGAATCGCGTATCATAACTTAGACATTTGTAATTTATCAAAACGCGTTCTATTTGTGTGATTTATTCAATTAAAATCAAAAGTCGATAAATTATATCTTAATCTCTCGAATATTGCATCCGTGGATATTTAAACTTGCACATGTATTCGCTTCTAAAATAAAACATTGTCGCGGTGAATGCTACAAATTTGATCTCATAATTTTTGAGTCCTGAGAGGATTGTAATTTTTACATTACTCTTTCGTTGTTGCATAATAAAATATACTACAATAAAATAAATATAGTATAATAGTGTACGTTATATATGAATAATATTGAAAGTGTCGTACAAATTATTACAATCGTCGTTTTCTGTTAATTGTAATTAATTATATTTTCGCGAGTGAGTGTCATAAAGAAGCAGCAAAGAACAAGGAAGGCAAAGCAAACCGAGACTGATGAAGCAGATGATAATGGAATAATTGTGAGTTTTTAATAAATTATTTATTATTATTTATAAAGGTAATTGCCCTTTACTCTGCGATGTAATGATCCATTTTTAATATATATATATATATATATATATATATATATATATATATATACATGTGTATATTTATATGTATACGTTATATATTATATATCTCACATAATTTAAAATATTTCAAATTTTATTTTGAAATTAAACATAGATATAAATAATAAAATATTTTTATTTTTATCGATTTAACTTTTTATATATACATATATATACATGTAAAAATTTGAAATTGCTCGGAATAATTAATTTTTTTAAATGTGTATTAATTATTATGGATGTTATATTATGTTTTATATTCTTACAATAAAATTAATGGATTAATTTCCGCTAGAGTAAATGGTATCTGATCGAATTGCTTATGTGACATAAGAGAAAAATTCATATGCATGCCAAGTGTTATGAATGTGATTTTATTTTTGTGTAATGATGAATTAGATAACGTTAAAATATAGATTAATATGTAGAAGTGTTTTGCATGATATTAAAAAGTAAACTTTCAATATATACCGTATAACATTGATAAATCCAGCGTTTTTGTAGATTCAGTTTCATTTTTTTGATTTTCTAAATTCTTTGTGATCTTACAAAAGTGATGATTAAACTTGCTTTGTACATTAATTTCTAGTCTTGAATGATCTGTTACATCCTATTATAAAGAAATACATACATACACATACACATATATGTATATATATATATATATATATATATATATATATATATATATAATTATGTTGTCAATCATTCAAGATTATAAAAAGTTATTAAAAATAATAAATAATAACATTAATTAATTGCTATTTATTAAATAAATTATTTGTGTAATTGTACGTAAATAATTATATAATTTAACAAAAATTTATGTCACATACTTTTCGTTGAATTTCAATACTTTCTCCAGCCCACAAGAATTTATATATTATAGGAATCGGTCCATTATTAGTCATTCTTAAACATTTCTCAGTACTTGAACCCAAAATGCAATTGATAATCAAATCTTTGCAAAGTAACTTAATATTTGGGAAATTTACGGCACCTTTACATTGAATTTTGTCCTAAAAATAAATAATCAAATTTTTGTGCACAAAAGATTTACATATATGTTTGCAATGAAACCAACGTACCTTATTGGGATGTTCATCATATTCGCACCAAAGCGTACCATTATAATTCCGTGAATAAGGATTATCAAGATTTATATTTGGCAAAAATTTCACCGGAATTGATGTAGTGTTTCCATCCGTTAGAATAATTTTTCTTTTATGAACCTTTTTCTTATCGATTATTAAATAAAAGGGAGCGTCAACGTATAATAGAACGTTTAAATTTAATCGCGATTGATTTGTAATGACTAGTTCGTCTAAAAAATCAGCACATTAAAAGTCATTATATAATTATCTAATAAATAAAAAATTTCTTATACGTATAAAATTATACCGAAATTTAAATAATATAAAAATTTCAATTATATGAAATTACATGAAATTCTAACATCAAAGTGTTATAGATGCTCTATAAATATATGGTACTGAATTACATAACTTTCCCCTATAATTCATTAAAATAATTCTCATTAAAATAATTTCGAAATATGGTACTATAATACATTACAATTTTCTACCTGTCTGTTGCATTTCTTCTCCCTCGGGATATATATCAATGCGAAACGTTAACTCTCTCTTGTTAAACGCAATTCGAGGCTCTGTAAAAGTGACTTTAAATACAGAAGTTCCAATCAATTCTCGCTTCCCTTGTCCAGAAATCTGCCTGAACACGTACCAATCTTCTGTCAAAATCTCATTGCTTTAATATAAAAAAGGTCTTTATAATATTAATTTAAATTATTAATAATTGTAATTATAAAATTGCAAAAACATGATATAAAATAAATTCTTTGACATAAAATTATAAATTTAGGATTATGACTTTAAAATATCTAAATAAATTAAGTGCTCACAATTTTTTTAATTTTAATTAAATTTTAATTACATTCATCTTAATTTGTATATTTTTATAATTAAGAATATAAAGTCTTTAATCGGAACTTACGCGTCCCAACATATTTTGCATTGAACTATATTAGAATCATTCGCTGGAATCTCTACGGTGAGCGGATCAATTTGAAACTTCTTACTGTAAAATTTAATTTTTAACATCTTGTCAAAAT